AGGGAGAGAGAGAGAGAGAGAGAGAGAGAGAGAGAGAGAAAGAGAGAATCCTAAGCTGGCCCCATGCTCTACGCTGAGCGAGACATGGGGCTTGATCTCATGAGCCCCACAGTCTTTCCCTTAAAAATGTTTGTCCAGGGCAGGGTGTGGGTGCCTGGGTGGCTCAGTCAGTTAAGCTTCTGACTCTTGATTTCTGTTCAGGTCATGATCTCAGGGTTCGTGAGTTCAAGCCCCGCATCAGGCTCTCACAAGGCCTGCTTGGGATTCTCTGTTTCTCTTTCTCTCTCTGCTCCTCCCCTGCTTGCTCACATACACCCTTTCTCTTTAGCTCTCTCTCTCTCTCTCTCTCTCTCTCTCAAAAATAATAAAATAAGGGGTGCCTGGGTAGCTCAGTCGGTTAAGCCTCTGACTTCAGCTCAGGTCATGATCTCTCGGTTCGTGGGTTCAAGCCCCGAGTTGGGCTCTGTGCTCACAGCTCAGAGCCTGGAGCCTGCTTCGGATTCTGTGTCTCCCTCTCTCTCTGTCCTCCCCCACTCGAACCGTATCTCTCTGCGTCTCAAAAATAAACAAACATTTAAAAAAATCAGAGAGCCAGAGAAACCAGGCACCCGTTATAGATTTTTAAAAGACTTGTTTTGCCTCCCCCCACTCCTCTCCTCATGGTTTCCAGGGATAGTAGTTCCGGAGTAAAGAGGAAGGGGGACCCTTGCTGAAGCTCACCCCAGACCAGTCCGGGCATGGCTCAGGAGAGTAGTGACAGGGGTGTGGTTAGCAAGGACCTGATGGGGAGAACACACGCTCAGAACGATCCCAAACCTCCCACCGCAGGGCAGCTCCGGAAGCCTGGAGCCACCTCCCGAAGCCCACAGTGTGCACTCAGGGGTCACAAAACAGCCTGCACACGGCGCACTGCTTGGCTTTCCCAGGCTGCCGGTTAATAACGCAGAGTAATGGCTGAAGAATGCAAAATAATTGAAAGCGATGCTTCGTAAATTGCAGCTCCCCAGTCTTCATTACTTTCCTAACAATTTGCAGAAACCATTTCATTGCGTTTTTAGATTCCTTGAATTGAAATGCCGCTGTGTGCTGTAATTAAACTAAGTGACATACCAGCTGTGAATGAATGCATGCGGCTCATGTAATCATCCCCGTCCGGGTGGGGGAGGACGCTTGAGCCAGCTGCCAATCTGCCTGCCTCCCTCTCCTTGCCAGAACGCATGGCAAAACCGGAATCTGCAGTTGCCCTTTGAAGGCTAGGGGGAGAGGTTTCCCCGCCTCTTCGAGGTGGGCTAGGGCTTGCCCAGTGTGGGATGGGCCGGATAAGTGGTTCTCAAACATGGCTATACATTAGAGCCCTCTGAGGGAGCTTTCTAAGCCAGGTCAACACCCCCTCACCAGGTCAACTGACTACTCTGGGTTTTTTTTAGGGGGGGGTGGGGTTTGGAAGCACACATGTCTTCAAGCTGCCCTGGTAGTTCTGAGGCTGGAGAACCTGCCCAGTCGAAAATGGCTATTTTATTAAAAAATTTTTTTAAATGTTTATTTTTGAGAGAAAGAGTGCGAGCAAGGGAGGGGCAGAGAGGGAGGGAGACAGAATCCGACGCAGGCTCCAGGCTCTGAGCAGTCAGCACAGAGCCTTACACAGGGATCAAAGTCATGAACTGTGAGATCATGCCCTGAGTCAAAGCTGGATGCTTAACCAACTGAGCCACCCAGGCACCCCCCAAAATGGCTATTTTTAACAACCCAGTCTTCAGGAAAGTCATTTTTGCACTTGGACGGTTCTCCTTCAGGGCTGCTCTTTAAATCCATCTGCGGACCAGAGCTCATCCACCTGCTTTGTGAAACAGATGCTCTGACTTCTGTCCCCCCACAGCTCCTTCTCCCAATGTGCCTGTCTTCTTTGAGGGGACTCGGCTCTTTTGAAGCCTTCACTGATGTTCCCTTTTCCTTCTCCCTTTCCTGTTCACTTAGCTGCCAGGTCCCAGCTCTACAACGTCTTTCTTGCCCGCCTCCTTTTCTTTCCCACGGTCCGCCACCCTAAGAGAGCCTGCAAGGGCTTGAAACCTGGGCCACTGTGAGAGTCTCCTAACCGCTCTCCCACATTGGGCCTCTCCTTTTGCCCGCCATCCATCTTACCATCTCCTACCAGATTTGACTTTCTAACGTGAAAATCCCCCTTTCAAAAGCCTCCAGTGGCTTTCCATTGAGTGATGTAAACACTGCCCAGAATAACATTTTACACACTCCATATTCACTCATTCAACAAATATTTACTGAATTTTTTTTTTTTATGTCCTAGGCGCTAGGCTAAAAGTAGGGAATAGAAAGATGTAAAGACATGTTGCAGTCCCTTGAAGGGACAGCCATGTGCACAAGTTCACTATCATGAGGAGCGCAATCCTAGTGATGCAAACACGAGCACCCGGGTCTCCAATCTGGTCTCTTAAACTGTCTCTCCATTGCCACCTCCCACTTTCCCTTTCTGATCCAGCCAGATTGCACTAGACTCTACTTCTTGACCACGTTCGGGTTTGTTTTTATTTTCTTCCACACTGCTGTGCCCTCAGTACCCCACCTCATATCCACTGTTTTTTTTTTTATTTTTAATGTTTATTTATGTTTAAGAGACGGAGTGCGAGTGGGGAAGGGGCAGAGAGAGAGAGGGAGATATAGAGTCCAGATCCAGACTCCGAGCTGTCAGCGAGCTGTCAGCACGGAGCCCGATGCGGGGCTCGAACCCATCAGCAGTGAGATCATGGTCTGAGCCGAAGTCGGACGCTCAACCGACTGAGCCACCCAGGCGCCCCTCATATCCACTTTTAAAAATCGTGTGTATATATTTTAAGTAGGCTCCACACCCATTGTGGGGCTTGAACTCACGATACTAGGGTTAAGATCCCATACTCTACCGACTGAGCCAGTCAGGCGCCCCCAAACCATATGTATCTTTTTCTGCCATTTCAAATATCACCTCCTCCAAAGAGGAGGACTTGATCCTCCCTGCTGGGTGGGAGGGCAGTTCCTTCTCTAACGACACTCCTTGTTAGTGGCACTTAATTCAAGCTAGCGATCTGTGGGTTTGTCTCACTCCACCGCACACTCCACGGGGCAACGTCTGCCACAAGATTTTTTGTTTTGTTTTTTGTTTGTTTGTTTTTGTCGCACACAAGCATCGGGCAGACCGCTGCTGGGCGGAGCCCTGTGCGCGAACAGGCGGGGTGGGCGGGGCCTGCCATGTTGCCTTCTCATTGGCTAACCCAGAGCTGTCGAAGTCTCTAAGCGGGACTGGCTACGTACCGTACCGTGGTGGGCGCAAAATGAAAATGCGGGGCTTCCTGGTTGAGAAACTCTTCAGGGGCGCTTGGGCGGCTCAGTGGGCGAAGCGTCCGACTCTTGACTTCAGCTCAGGTCATGATCTCCTGGTTCCTGAGTTTAAGCCCCCCACGAGGCTCTCCGTTACCTGAGATTCTCGGTCTCCCTCTCTCTCTGCCTCTCCCCTGCTCACCCTCTCTCTCAAAATAAACATTTTTTTAAAAAAATATTCAGAATTTCAAGAGGGTGAAAACAGAGCATCTAACCAAGTGCAAGGCCCTTCTAAGCGTGCAGCTATGTGAGACTACACGGATTCCACGCCCATGAAGCGGAGTCTAGGATCAAAGGTGCAGGCACCAAATCGTCCCCTAGAAAGACAAATCCTTCTGACTTCGCCTTATTAAAAGACTTCCTTTTTATCAGCTCAGGAACCTTGACTGGCTGAAGCTGGTGACTAGGGAGAAAAGGGGAGAGATGTGGAGGTTCTAGAAAGCCCCGTTTCAGGAAGTCTTACATCTTTTGTGAGGGCCAGGCTCTGATCTATAGATCCCAAAAATGACAATGGAAAAATTGGCCTTGAGTCAGTCCATATTGAGGCTCCTAAATGGTATTGGGAAGGGACAGGCAAAGGGGGTTTAAGTAGTCTCTGTGCCCAGCATGGGGCTCAAACTCACATCCCCAAGATCAAGAGTTGCATGCTCTTCTGAGCGAGCCCACCAGGCGCCCCAGGAGGGTTAATGTTTTACTAATCTGGGTAGTTGTAATCAGGGCTCCCTTCCTCTACCATCCAGGTAAATCCTGACTTACTTACTAAAAACAACTCTAGGGGTGCCTGGGTGGCTCTGTCAGTTGAGCGTCCGACTTCGGCTCAGGTCATGATCTCCTGGTTCGTGGGTTCGAGCTCCACGTCAGGCTCTGTGCTGACAGCTCAGAGCCTGAAGCCTGTTTCAGATTCTGTGTCTCCCTCTCTCTCTGTCCCTCCCACACTCATGCTCTGTTTCTCTCTGTCTTAATAATAAATAAACATTAAAACATTTAAAAAACAAAACAAACAACAAAAAAAGAACTCTATACCAGGAGTCTCTGAAAACCAGACCCAGGTGGGGATGAAGTTGTGTCTGTGAGTGCTTCCCAGTGGGACATGCATGGCTTCTCCATTCACCACTTTGGATAACTGAGTGAGGAGACCTGTGTGCTTTAAGTTTCCCAGAATCCTCTGACATCCGTGACGCCAGAAATTCATTCCAGTAGGAGTCCATAAAGCAAAGCTGAATCAACATTGTGAAGCAGGTTCTTGACTTCAGACCTCACCCTTCTTCCACCGCTGCCCCCTCCAAAGCTCCTCATTCCTGGGCTCTAACTCAGGAAGAGCAAGTGGGGCAAAATCTCAGATCACATTCCTGTAGAGAACGAACCGGCAGGATGAAAGGTTATGCCTCGCGTCTACCAGAACTGATGCTGGGCAGGCACGTGGCAGCCACAGTGCCCCCCAAAAGGGCCACCTTGGGCACCAGCCTCCCGGCAAGGAGGGCAGAGCCTACCATTCATCCAAAGAAATTCTTCAAAGGCTCCCGATGCATTTTCACTGCATTTGGAGCTTTCTTAACTGAGGAGTGCTCGGGAAGACGATCTCTCCCCCTTCCCCCTTCCCAGTCCCTCTCTGGATCAGGCTCACCAGCCCAGCATTGAGCGTCACAATTTATTAATGTGCACTTGGGGGGAAGATGTGTCATTTCTGCAGGTAGCTGGAAGAAACACCTGCACGCCAGGCACACTCGCCTCACTTCTTTCTCTATCAGCAGGGTCGATGAGGATTGGTGACGGAGGTAGCAGGAAGGTGTTTGGGCACAGAGGTGGCTGGGGTGGGAGGAGGTCTGGTCTTTACCTTGTAAAGTTACATCTGCCCCAGTCCCCTTACTCAGGGCTCAGAGGCCTGTTGGTGGACTGAGGACTTTGGATTCCTGGAAACTTTGAGTCTTTCTCTGCAACATTCCTCCTTTGAGGGGGGAGTGTTCTAGAAGACGATGCCATCTGAGGGACCCATAGGAATGACACCAGAGGGGCAGCTGGGGTGTGTCCTGAGGCAGCACCAATATCTCTCATAAGTCATGGTCCTTTATCACTGGAAACTCAACTGGGAGGGTGCAAAAGGCAAGGCTGTTGGCCCAGTGGTGTTAATGGGAGGTAGTTTATAAGACCGGGATATCTAGATGAGGAAATAAAACTTTCAGTTGATTCTATGAACATTGTAGACAGTTTAAGAAAAGATAAATCATTTCCTGGGGATACGAGGTGGAGAGGAAAACAGTGGCAGAGATCCAGCCTGATTCTGAAAAAAAAAAAAAAGATATGTATTTTTTAATTTCCTTTAAAATAGCCTCTAGAATATTCAAGTCAATTAACACATCATCACCATTCCTATCTAGAAGTAGCTCGGAGGCGCTCAGGTGATTCACATCCACAGTCACCAGAAACTCATATTTACCATCATCTTCTTGCATCCTTCTAGCCCCAAATATTTGATACGGGTCATTAAGGAGCAGCCAAGATGGCGAGTCCGAGATAATATGCGGTGGTGGTTAAGCGCACAGGCATGGGAGTTTTGAGTGCTCTTGTGTAAGTTATTTAGCCTCTCTAAACCTTGGCTTTCTCCTTTGAAAAAAAGAGAATAACAATAGTACTCACCACATAGAGTTGCTTCAACGACTGAGAAAATGTATGCAAAGCTTTGAGTACATCAAAAGCAAGTGTGTCTGGGTCCAGTCCTTGCTGGCCTCATCAGCACAATGTCATCATGATGATCATGCTCATGATGCAACTACCACTTATTCCGTAGGGTGCCAGGCACACCGCTGTAGCAGGCTTTTAAGAATCTCTTAAAATCTGGGGCGCCTGGGTGGCTTAGTCGGTTAAGCGTCCGACTTTCGCTTAGGTCATGATCTCGCGGTTCGTGGGTTCGAGCCCCGCGTTGGGCTCTGTGCTGACTGCCAGCTCAGAGCCTGGAGCCTGTTTCAGTCTGTGACTCCCTCTCTCTCTGACCCTCCCCTGCTCACGCTGTCTCTCTCTCTCTCTCCTAGAAATAAATAAAACATAAAAAAAAAAAATTAAAAAAAAAAAAGAATCTCTTAAAATCTACAAAATGGACTATTTATCCCCTAAAAGCTCAACTGTTGACAGATCTGAAACCCTAAACTCAGTGACCGACCCGCCGTGAAAGTGGGTCCAGAGGAAGGACGATGAGATTATAGTGATCTAAGTAGAAACATGTCAGGGCTCCTTTCTTCACAGGGGTCAAGATAGGCTCTAAGTCCACAGCAGGATGGTAAAGAGGAAGAAACACTGGGTTATTTGTCCAGAACTCCTCACTTGTGTGAGGTTGGACAAGTCATTTAATGTCCCCAAACCGTGGTGGTTTTCATTTGCAAATTGAGGATAAAGTCTGATGTCTTCTTGCCAAGCTCACAGCATTTGACCTGAGGATTCCATGAATATGGTATGTCAACTTGATGTGTGGAAGGTATTACTTTGACCAAGAAAGCCCCATAACTTGGACCTCTGCTCTACTCTTTCCTTCTTTTTTTTTTTTTAAATGTTTTATTTATTTCTAGGAGAGAGAGAGACAGCGCGAGCAGGGGATGGTCAGAGAGAGAGGGAGACACAGAATCTGAAGCAAGCTCCAGGCTCTGAGCTGGCAGTCAGCACAGAGCCCGACGCGGGGCTCGAACCCATGAACCACGAGATCATGACCTAAGCGAAAGTCGGACGCTTAACCGACTAAGCCACCCAGGCGCCCCATACTCTTTCCTTCTTTTATTCAACCGTGAAGCCTGATTCTTACACCACATCCTCCACCATTTGTAAATGAATGCACTGATGGCCGGGCATTCTCCTGTATACAATTAGACTTCAGGAGTTTGCCTTGTAAGCATCAGTCCTTGGCACACTGATGAACTGGGGATTTTTAGAACCCATCATTTGACATGAGAGCAGAGGGCCAGCTCTGCGATCTGGCAACCCTGTATGGCATTCTAAGAGGCCACCTCCGTCACCTGCAGAAATGCCTTCACTGAAGAGTCATTTATTAGAACCCTTTGGTATGCCCCCAGCTCAAACTGAAGACTATTAAAAATGCCATTTGAAAATAAGGTAGTATAGTTTAGGAATCAGGAACATCTGTCTCAAATCCTTGCTGGGCCACTTAAAAGCTGTGGGACCTTCTAAAGTTCAGGCCTTCTGCTTTTTGAGCAGAAGTTCTTTTCTTTTCTAAAGTGCACAATTGTGATTGAAATGAAATTGGATAAAAAATACATATATCTAGAAGTGTGCCGGCACCAGCGTGGTTGGCTGCTAAAAGAGGGGTAACAATTACCATCATTACTATTCATGAGAAAGTAAGTGCCTCCGGCCACTGTCCTCCACGGTAGTAGAAGTCTGTAATAGAAGATTCCATATGACAAACTGCCCTTAGATATGAGGGCTCGGGAAAGAAGTCTCTCCAAAAGAACTTATCTTTATGTTCAAACTTATTTTTACTCATTTAGGAGAGAATACCAAAAACGCCTCTGCCAGTCAAATCCCAGAGCTTCTCAGGGAGACCAAACCCAAGCTGGAGTTTGCTAAAGAATGACACAAAGAAACATCATCTGATGTCCCAGGTTCAACCGAGAGAGAAGCTCTCCCTGTTCTCAGCTCTCTCTTACCCAGACCTGATGCTGCGTAACCAGTCACATAAATGCCAGTATGTAGAGGGAAATTCCAAGAGCTTAGGATATGAAGTAACCAATAGCCTAATCTCTGAAGAGCTCTCAGTCTGGGCTTGGCGTGGGGTAGGGGGTGGGGAGATGCAGCCCCTGCCCTCAGGGAGACCCCAGTCAGATGGTGGAGACAGAATCCATGTCCTTAGGGAGACTCTATTCTGATTGGAGAGACAAGAAAGACCCAAACACCCAAACAGAATGCTGTGTTTGGCCTTTTCTGCTAAGAGGTTCAAAGCCGAATTCAGTAGTCAATGCAGAAAGTACTTTCTCTCACCCTCTTAATACAATGATCTCCTTTCTCTATATGGCATCTGATCATCATGACTTCATTCTATCAGGTGTATTGAATAAATTTTTCACTGTAACCTACTATATCAACCCCCCGCCCCGTTTTTAACAATAGGATTATAGGGGCACCTGAGTAGCTCAGTTGGTTAAACATCCAACTTTGGTTTGGGCTCAGGTCATGATCTCACAGCTTGTGAGTTCGAGCCCTGCATCGGGTAGTGCAGAGCCTGCTTGGAATTCTCTCTCTCTCAAAATAAATAAATAAATAAACAAACAAACAAACATTAAAAATTTTTCTTTTAAAACAGGGGTGCCTGCGTGGCTCAGTCAGTTAAGCATCCAACTTCTGCTCAGGTCATGATCTCACGGTCTGTGGGTTCAAGCCCCACGTCAAGCTCTGTGCTGACAGCTCAGAGCCGGGAGCCTGCTTTAGATTCTGTGTCTCCCTCTCTCTCTCTGCTCCTCCCTCCCCTGCTTGAGCTCTGTCTCTCTCTGTCTCTCTCTCTCAAAAGGAAATTAACATTAAAAAAATTTTTTTAAGCAATGGGAGCATAAATAGCAATAAATGAATAACCTTCCCTTGACTTCAAATTTTAGTACTGGAAAATCATGAACTGAAGAAAGCAGGGGTGGGTTTGGGCTCCGTAAGGATCGGGGAGTTTTGTTCCAATAACAGGCCCACAGGTCAGGCCTGACTGTCACAAGTTTCTGTGCCCAGGCCTGGGTCTAGACATAGGACAATCCTCACTCACTACCACACCTGAGAGACATGGGTTGCCGGGGCCACACCTCAAGCATCTTGTGTCAGAATTGCCAGGAGTGTGACCCAGAGGGCTTAACTAGCCAGCCCTGCCCTCGATCGAAAAATCATCAGGGAAACACCAGGCCCAGTTCTTCTCTGAGGTGAGGTGAGAAGCCCATCAGAATCATGCAGAAGAGCTTCTTAAATGCAGATTCTTGGGCCCCCACTAGGACTTACTGAATCAGAATTTCTGGAAGCCGGCTCTCGAATATACATTCTTACAAGCACCCAAAGTGATGTCTATGGGCTGATGTTTACTCTCAGGCCGGTCTGCAGTGTGAGACACTGCACAAGGAGGCAGGGTCAAACTGTCTGGTCACACTTTGGTGGCAAGAGGGAAGGAGATGGACGAAAAGCGTAGCCTTCTCCAGGCAGCCAAGCTGCAGGAGCCCCTCCCCTTCCCGAGATGCCATATACTTGATGAGTTTCTCCTGGGCTGGGACACACCGCCCTCCTTGGGCAGCACCGATGTTCCGACAGAGGGCCCCTTGCTATCTTCCACACAGTGGAATCAAAGCTTCTCAAAGGTCCTCGCTCCACTGTCTTGTTGTTCTGTCCCTTCAGTCCATGTCATTACCCTGCCCGCTTTCGGGGCAAGTGACCCGGACCCAGGCCAGGCTGGCATGGAATGAAAGCTGTGGAAATCAACCTCACGGATGACATGGTGCTACTTCTGGGACTGGCATTAATGACTCTCACTTTTATTTTTTTTTTTTTTTTTTTTTTNTTATTTATTTCTAGGAGAGAGAGAGAGAGACAGCGTGAGCAGGGGAGGGTCAGAGAGAGAGGGAGTCACAGACCGAAACAGGCTCCAGGCTCTGAGCTGGCAGTCAGCACAGAGCCCGACGCGGGGCTCGAACCCACCAACCGCGAGATCATGACCCAAGCGAAAGTCGGACGCTTAACCGACTAAGCCACCCAGGCGCCCCAATGACTCTCACTTTTAGCCGTAAGTGGAAGACAAGCAAAGTACCAGCAAAGCAGGTTGATCATAGCAGAAATACACATGGGGGAGGGGAGGGGGTCTTGGCACATTTTGACTGAGGTTAGTCTTTTTGTTTTTCTTTAATTTTTTTTTTATGTTTTATTTATTTCTAGGAGAGAGAGAGAGACAGCATGAGCAGGGGAGGGTCAGAGAGAGAGAGGGAGTCACAGACTGAAACAGGCTCCAGGCTCTGAGCTGGCAGTCAGCACGGAGTCCGACGCGGGGCTCGAACCCACAAACCGCGAGATCATGACCCAAGCAAAAGTCGGACGCTTAACCGACTAAGCCACCCAGGCGCCCCTGTTTTTCTTTAATTTTTAATGTTTATTTTTGGGGGAGAGAGAAAGCACGAGTGGGGGGGGAGGAAGGTGGGCACAGAGAGAGAGGTAGACACACAATCCGATACACGCTGTCAGCTCAGAGGCTGATGCAGGGCTCGAACTCGCAAATTGAGAGATCATGACCTGAGCCAAAATCGGACGCTCAACCAATTGAGCCCCCCGGGCGCCCGTGACTGAAGTTAGTCTTGATAGTTTGCTCACCTGTATGTCTGATCGCTCCAGCCACCCACCTGCCTATCCGACCTTCCAGAAATCTGTACACGTGGCGCGGGCCAATAAAGCAAGCACGCGAAGGGAATACGGGCGGACCTACCTAGTTCCGCGCGCATCCTCTGGGGCCCGCGATGCGGCAGTGACTGTAGGCTTCCCGATCCTGCATACACGGATCTCTCGTGGCAGCCCTGTGGCTTCGGCCCGGCCTCGGATCCAGCCGGGCTGGAGTGGCGACCACCAGCAGATCCTTCAGGGAGACGTCCTGGCTCGGCGGATCGCGCACGACGAGGAGGGAGGACAGACGCAGCCGCCTGTTCCCGCCGGAGTTCCGGCCGCCCACGCAGCACTCCCCGGGCAGGGACTGGTTTTCTGGAAAGGCGCAGTCACCGGCGTCATCAGCTTGTGCTGCTGGACTCGCCCCCGTTCCTGGCGGGGGGCCACCTCCCGCTGGGGTCCCCCGGCCTAAAACCGGCTGGAGTTCCTGAATCCAATTCCTCCCCCAAATAGTTTCCTATCCTGTTGCCATACTGAATGCTCCTCACCCAGTACGACAGGACTCAGCCGAATGGAGCTCTTCTGAATGAGGACCCGGAAACTGAACAGGGTACTTGTCAAAAGCATTCAATGGGGTGGGGGTGGGGGGCTGGGGGAAGCACTTGGGTGGCTCAGTGGGTTGAGCATCCGACTTCAGCTCAGGTCATGAGCTCAAGGTTGGTGAGTTCCAGCCCTTCCCTCATCCAGCTCATTGCTGTCAGCGCAGACAGACCCCCCTCCGCTAGGGATCCCCTGTCCCCCCCCCTCTCTGCCCCTCCCCTTTGCTCTCTCTCTTTTCTCAAAAATTACTAAAACATTAAAAGAAAAGAGAAAAGTCTCAGGGCGTCTGGGTGGCTCAGTCGGTTAAGCATCAGACTCTTGATTTCGACTCAGGTCACGATCTCAAGGTTCACGGGGGCCACACCCCAGTGTGGGGCTTTTCGCTGACTGTGTGGAGCCTGGTTGGGACTCTCTCTTCCTCTCCCCTGCTGGCATGCTCTCTCCCTCTCTGCCTCTCTCTCAAACTAAGTGAACACTTTTTAAAAACATTCTATATATATGATTTTTTTTTTTTTTTGCTTTTGTATTTCCAGCAAGACTAGAGACTCCCTAAGGACGTGGGTTATGTCTCCACCATCAGGGTGGGGTCTCCTGTCTCCCTGAGGGCAGGGGCTGTATCCCCCACCGCCACCCCCAGACGGGGCACTCCTCAAAGACGAGGACTGGCTCCGTTCGTGGCTCCGTCCCCTAAGCCCTGGGCACGTGGCACGAGCCTGGTGGCACTCACGTGACTTGTTACTCAGCACCAGCTTTGGGTTGCAGTGAGCCGGGAACAGGGAGAGCTTCTGCCGCAGGTGAACCTTGGTGAGGAGCTCCGACATCAGATACTGCTTCCTCGTGTCAATCTTCAGCGAAGCCCAGCTTTGGTTCAGACTTCCTAGGAAGCCCTGGGATTTCGTGGGCAGGGAGCTTTTCGACATATTCCCCTGGAGGAGGGGCTGAGAGATTCCGTGGTGCTCATACTTGGAGGAGGCCGCCTTATCCGCCTCGGGGCTACTGTGCTCAGAGCTGGTTTTCGGGATCATGCTGGGCAGAGGCTCTGGGGAGTCTGAGCCCCGGGTGGAGGAATCTGGGGAGGTTTCTACTGGGGTTACGGGCTGGAAGAGAAAACAGTCCAAAATGAGACTGCCGAAGCCTAAGTCTCCTTCCTAGGCCTTCTTGACTTAAACAAAGTAGGCCAAGGTCATGAGCAGCAAGAAAGATTAGGTTAGAATAGTTTCCTAACCAGGAGTTGGTTAAATGTCAGGGCAGAGGATAGAGGGATGGCCACAGAAGTCCCTTGGGTTTTTTTGTTTGTTTGTTTGTTTGTTTGTTTGTTTTAATACAAGAGACAGTTTAAACCCGAGAAATTGGTTATCAGAAAAATGGGTATTATTTCACAGCTGTCAGACTGGCAAAAATCAGAAAGGTGTTGATGGGATGGGGTGGTACGAGGACACTCATACACTGCTGATAAGGAGGTAGACTGATACAGCCATTTTGGCGAACCATCTAGAAACAGTTAATAAGATTACAATTACACTATGACTCAGCATTTCTGCATCTAGGTGTACATATCCAGTGAGTTGTAACTCCTTTAAAAAAAAAATGCGTACAGGGGCGCCTGGGTGGCTTAGTCGGTTAAGCGTCCAACTTTCGCTTAGGTCATGATCTCGCGGTTCGTGGGTTCGAGCCCTGCGTCGGGCTCTGTGCTGACTGCCAGCTCAGAGCCTGGAGCCTGTTTCAGTCTGTGACTCCCTCTCTCTCTGACCCTCCCCTGCTCACGCTGTCTCTCTCTCTCTCTCCTAAAAATAAATAAAACATTTAAAAAAAAATGCGTACACCAATGTTCCCAGCAACATTATTCCCAATAGCCAAAAGGTGGATGTAATCCATATGTCCACCAAGAGATGAGAGAAGAAACAGAATGTGGTATATGCTGACAAGGGAATGCTATTCGGCCTTAAAAAGGCAAGAAATTCTGATATATATTGCAACACGCGTTGACTTTGAAAATGTGATGCTAAGTAAAATAAGCCAGATGCACAGTACAAACCTTATATGATTCATCTTCTCTGTGGTATCTAGAGTGGTCATAGAGATAGTAAAATAGAGAGGAATGAAATAAGGCAGAAGAAATATTTGAAGAATAGCCACAAACTTCTTGAATCTGGTGACAGACATCCATTTACAAAATCAATAAGTCCCTAAGAATCCTAAGTAGAATGAACACAAATAAAATGCCATCCAGATGGGGCGCCTGGCTGGCTCAGTCAGAAGAGCCCTCGCCTTTTGATCTCGAGGTTGTGAGTGCAAGCCCCACATTGGGGATGGAGATTACTTAAAAAAAAAAAAAAAGAAAAGAAAATCTTCAAAAAGAAAATGATACCCATACACTTCATAGTCAGATAGCTGAAATCTGGAGATAGAGAACCGCCAGAGGAAAATGACACATTATATACAGCTGACAATGTTACGAATACAGTTGACTTCTCAGGTAAGAGAGGTAACAAGACATTGCATGGTGATAAAAAAGGGTCAGTTTGCCAAAGACGTAAGAATCCTAAATATGTATATACCTAATGACAACGCTTCAAAATACATGAAGAAAAAGCTTCCAGAAATGAAAGGAGAAACAAATTCGCAATTATAGTGGGAGATTTCAGCATCTCTCAGTAACTGATAGAACTCACACACAGAAAATTAACAAGGACATAGAGTTGAACAACATCATTAACCAACTAGATGTTAATTGGCCACTACCTGACAATGGCAAAATATACACCCTTCTGAAGTGCACATAGAACATTCCCCAAAAGAGACCATATTCTGGGTCATAACATAAACTTTGACAAATTTAGAATGGAAATCATATTAAATATGCTCTCTGACCATATGGAATTAAAATAGAAATCAGTAACAGAAAACACCAGGAATAGCTCCAAACAATTGGAGATTAAACAACATACTTCTAAATAATCCAGGTGTCATAAAGGAAATCTCAAGTCAAATCAGAAAGCATTTTAAATGAAATGAAAACAAGAAATAAACAGGATAGCAAAATATATCAAAAGCAAGGATAGGGACACATGTATAGCATTAAGTGTTATATTAGAAAAAGTCTGGGCAGCCTGGCTGGCTCCGTCTTGATCTCAGGGTCATAAGTTCAACCCCCACCCTGGGTGTGGAGCCTGCTTTAAAAAAAGGAAAAAAAAGGTCTTAATCAATAATCAAAGCTTCTCTCTTAAAAAAAAACTAGAAAAAGGAAAACAAAAATAAGGCCAAAGAAAGCAGAAGGAAAGTATTAATAGAGAGCAGAAATCAGTGAAATAAAAATTAGAAAAACAGTTGATCTTATCAACTGTTACGAAAATTCAGTAGCCATATAGGACTTAACTCTCAGGGGGCACCTGGGTGGCTCAGTCGGTTGGGCATCCCAACTCTTGATTTCGGTTCAGGTCACAATCTTACCACTTGTGAGTTCAAGCCCCATCACAGGCTCTGTGCTGACAGTACAGAGCCTGCTTGGGATTCTCCCTCTCTTTCTCAAAATAAATAAATAAACATTAAAAAAAAAAAAAAAAACACCTCTCACCAAACTAGGAATTGAAGTGAACCTTCTCCAACCTGATAAAGGACATCTGCAAAAACGCTATAGTTCACATCATACTTTTTTAAAAATGTTTTATTTATTTCTGAGAGAGAGAGAGAGACAGTGTGAGCAGGGGAGGGTCAAAGAGAGAGGGAGACACAGAATTCGAAACAGGCTCCAGGCTCTGAGCTGGCTATCAGCACAAAGCCTGACTCAGGGCTCGAACCCAGGAACCGTGAGATCAAGACCTGAGCCGAAGTTGGAGGCTTAACTGCCTGAGCCACCCAGGCGCCCCCCACATCATACTTTATGATAAAAGACTGAACGTTCCCCTCTAAGACTGAAAACAGGACAAGGTTTCCAACATCGTACTAGAAATCCTGGACAGTACATAGTAAGGCAAGAAAAAGAGATAAAAGGCATAAAGATTTGAAAGAATTAAAATCGCCTTTATTTGAAAGTGACATGATTGTTTATCATGAAAATCCTGAAGAGTCAGCAACAACAAAAAATTTACCAGGATTTACAAGGGGCTGAAGCATTTCAATGACAAAGGAAAATCTATTCTTTCTTGCTTTTTAAAAAAAGTTTATTTAGTTTTTTTTAATAATTTTTTTTTTTAATTTCTAGGAGAGAGAGAGACAGCGTGAGCAGGGGAGGGTCAGAGAGAGAGGGAGTCACAGACTCTGAAACAGGCTCCAGGCTCTGAGCTGGCAGTCAGCACAGAGCCAGACGCGGGGCACGAACCCACGAACAGCGAGATCATGACCAAAGCGAAAGTCGGACGCTTAACAGACTAAGCCACCCAGGCGTCCCAAAAGTTTATTTAGTTTTTAAATTTTAAGCTTTTATTTTATTTTTTGAGAGACAGAGAACGAGCAGGGGAGGGGCAGAAAGAGAGGGAGACATGAATCCAAAGCAGGCTCCAGGCTCTGAGCTGTCAGCACAGAGTCCTACGAGGGGCTTGAACCCACCAACAGTGAAATCATGACCTGAGCTGAAGTTGGATGCTGAACCCGCTGAGCCACCCAGGCACCCCAAAGGAAAGTCTGTTCAATAAATAGTGTGAGAGGGGTGCCTGGGTGGTTCAGTCGGTGAAGAGTCTGACTCTTGATTTTGGCTCAGGTCTTGATCTCACAGTCACGAGATCAAGCCCCACATCAGGCTGTACATTGGGCGTAGAGGCTGCTTAAGATTCTCCCTCTTTCTTCCTCTGTCCCTCCCCTGCCTGCTCTCTTTCTCTCTCTCTAAAAAAAAATTTTTTTTAATTTTTAAAAAAGTGTTCAGGGGCGCCTGGGTGGCTTAGTCGGTTAAGCGTCTGACTTTCGCTTAGGTCCTGATCTCGCGGTTCGTGGGTTCGAGCCCTGCCTCGGGCTCTGTGCTGACTGCCGGCTCAGAGCCTGGAGCCTGTTTCAGAGTCTGCGTTTCCCTCTCTCTCTCTGACCCTCCCCTGCTCACGCTGTCTCTCTCTCTCTCTCTCTCCTAGAAATAAAAAAAAAAAATTAAAAAAAATAAATAAATAAATAAAAAAAATAAAAAAGTGTTCAAAATAGCCACACATATGGGAAAAACAAACCCTGGTTCCCATCTCTGAGCATACTCAAAAATTAATTTGAAATGGATCATGGACCTATACACAAAGCTAAAGCTATAAAGCTTTTAGGGAAAAAACTAAGAGAACATCTCCGTGACCAGGAAATTTCTTAAACAGGACACAGAAAGCGAAAGCAGTAACTAAGAGAAAAATTGATAAACTTCATCAAAATTAAAATCTTTCCCTAATCAAAGACACTATTAAGAAAAAGAATAGGGGCACCTGGGTGTCAATCGGTTGGGCATCCGACTTCAGCTCAGGTCATGAACTTGCGGTTCATGAGTTCGATCCCTGAGCCAGGCTCTGTGCTGAGAGCTCAGAGGCTGGAGCCTGCTTCTGATTCTGTGTCTCCCTCTCTCTCTGCCCCTCACCTGCTCATGCTCTGTCTCTATCTCTTAAAAATAAATAAAGATTAAAGATATATTTTAATAATAAAAAAGAAGAATAGGCAGGTTTCCAGGATATACAAAGTATTCCTACAAGTCAATAATAAAAAGATAAATAATCCTCATTTTTAAAAGAGAGGGAAGCAAAACCTTGACAGACTCTTCACAAAGAAAGATAATATGAATGACTAACACTGACAAAGTGCCCAATACATTTAATCACCAGGGACATGCAAATGAAAACCACAAAGTGAAATCACAAATAGCCATGAGAGAGGCTAAAATTAAAAAGAAAAAAACAACAACCAGATACCCCCAAAGGTGGATAAAAATGGAGCAACTGGAACTCTCATTCATTGTTAATGGAAATGTACAGATGATACAATCACTTTAAATATTTTGGAGTTTCTTTTTTTTCTTTTTAAATTTTTTGTTAATGTTTATTTTTTGGAGAGAGAGAGACAGAATGAGAGCAGGGAAGGGGCAGAGAGAGAGGGAGACACAGTATCTGAAGCAGGCTCCAGGCTCCGAGCTGTCAGCCCAGAGCCCAATATAAGACTCAAACGCACGAACTATTAGATCATGACCTGAGCTGAAGTCAGATGCTCAACTGACTGAGCCACCCAGGTGCCCCTGGAGTTTCTTATAAAGTTCTAGATAGATCTACCCTTTGACCTAGCACACCTCTCCTAGGTAGTTACCCAAGGGAAATGAAAACATGTGTCCACAACGACTTGTACAGGAATGTTCATAGAAACTTTAATCACAGTAGCAATAAAAGAATAAAAACTGGGAACAACCCAAATGTCCATCAACAGGAGAATGATAAACAAACTGCAGTAGATTTGTACAATAGATTATAATTCAGCAATGAAGAATCAACTATTGATATACCCAACAAGATGAATGGGTCTCAGATATAATGTTGAGCTAAAGAAGACAGACACAAAAGAATATGTACTATTTTATTCCATTTATACAAAATTCTAGAATAGGCAAAATATCCAAGGTCGAAAAAGTCAGAGTCAGGATCCCTTGTCCTTGAATGAGGGACACAGAGGACTGGGGGGCGATTGGTAGGGAAAGGACAGGAGAGAACTTTCTGGAAATGTCAGAAGTTTCTACACTGTGACAGGGATATAGGTTACATAGACATGTTTATTTGTCTGAATGGTACAGTTAGGATCTGAGCATTTCAGGGTGCCCGGCTGGCTCAGTCAGAATAGCATGTGACTCTGGATTCAAGTTCAACCCTTACACTGGGTGGAGAGATTACTTAAGGAAGTAAACTTTTAAAAAATTTTCGACCATTTCAATGCCTGCAAATTTAATCTTAAAAATAGAAAAAAAAGCAGGGCTCAACAAGAAAACGGATAGGTCATAGAAGAGATAAAAAACCCAATCACATTTAAATAAAGTTTAAATGCACGCATTAAAAATAAATCTCTACTGGGGCACCTGGGTAGCTCAGTCGTTTAAACATCTAACTCAGCTCAGGTCATGATCTTGCGGTCTGTGGGTTCGAGCCCTGTGTCGGGCTCTGTGCTGACAGCTCAGAGCCTGGAGCCTGCTTCAGATTCTGGTCTCCTTCTCTCTTTGCCCCTCCCCTGCTCACGCTCTGTCTCTTTGTCTCTCTCAAAAATAAACATTAAAAAAAAATCTCTACTTTGCCAGGAAACATACTAACAAAAGATGGTAGATAGGAGAATGGTAGATGAGCATAGAGATAAAAGGGAAAAATAAATAAATGAAAGACACAAAGGCTTTGCACGAACCAAGGATTTTTATTAAACCAACCCTCTGCAGAGGAAATCCAAAAAAGAAAAAAAAAAACAATAAAATGTTGCTGCCTTACTTTTTAAAAATCTCTTTAGAGTTAACCAGTACTACTTTAAGTCTTAGATTAATGAGAAAAGAACAAAGACAGTCTTGTCACAGTAATATATTTTCTTTATAGTTTATTCATTTTTGAGACAGAGTGACAGAGCTCGAGTGGGGGAGGGGCAGAGAGAGAGGGAGACACAGAATCAGAAACAGGCTCCAGGCTCTGAGCTGTGAGCACAGAACCCGATGCTGGGCTTGAACCCACGAACTGTGAGATCATGACCTGAGCGAAGTTGGACGCTTAACCAACTGAGCCACCCAGGCTACTAAGTCACAGTAATATTAAAATAACAGCTAATGCCTCCTGCGTCCTGTGTGGCAGGCACCACTCTAAACATTTTTCTCCTCTTTTTTAATTTATTTTGAGAGAGCGAGCATGCGTGCAAGAGCGCTCACGTGAGTTGGGAAGGAACAGAGAGAGAGGGAGAGAAAGTGAAAATCCCAAGCAGGGTCCATGCAGTCAGCTCAGAACCGGATGTGGGGCTGGATCCCATGAACCACGAGATCATGACCAGAGCCCAAATCAAGAGCCAGACACTTAACTGACGGAGCCACCCAGGTGTCCCTAAACGTTTTCATCAGTTCTTTCATTTAAGCCTCAAAGTAATCCTCTGCAGTTATTATTATTAAAATGCCATTTTTTTAGATGAGGAATCTAAGGCTTAGGGAGATAAGAGTAATTAGACACAAGTCATATAGGAGACTCCAGGATCCAAGTATCTAAACAGAGGCAGTCAGATCCCAATGCATACTCTTTATTCTTTTTTTAATTGCCGTAAAATAAACACACACACACACACACACGTGCGCGTGCACACGCGGCTTAAGATTGACCATTTTAACCTTTTAAAAAATTTTTTTCTTAATATTTATTTTTGAGACAGAGAGAGAGAGACAGAGCATGAGCAAGGGAGGGACAGAGAGAGGATGACACAGAATCCGAACCAGAGCCCGACACAGGGCTCAAAACCTTAATCTGAAAGATCATGACCTGAACCGAAGTCAGATGCTTAACTGAGTCACCCAGGTGTCTCCAGTTTAACCTTTTTTATTTAATTAGAGAGAGAGAGAGAGAGAGAGAGAGCGAGTGGGGGAGAGGAGCGAAGGGAGAGAGAAAGAATCTTAAGCAGGCTTCACACTCAGCTCAGAGCCCGACAAGGGGCTTGATCCCACAACCCTGGGATCATGACCTGAGCCAAAATCAAGAGTTGGACACTCAAGGGACTGAGCCACCCAGGCACCCTGATCTTAACCATTTTTAAGTGTACAGTAAGTAGCGTTAACTATATGCACATTGCTATGCAACAGACCTCTAAAACCTTTTTAACTCGCAAAATTGAAACTCTATCCCCATTAAATAACTCCACAACCCCTGGCCACCAACATTCTATTTTGTGTTTCTAAGGGTTTAATACCCTATTGGGGCGCCTGGGTGGCTCAGTCGGTTAAGCATCTGACTTCAACTCAGGTCATGATCTCATGGCTCATGGGTTCAAGCCCCCCATGGCTCATGGGTCAAGCTCTGTGCTGACAGCTCGGAGCCTGGAGCCTGCTTCAGATTCTGTGTCTTCCTCTCTCTCTGCTCCTTCCCCACTTGTGCTTGCTCGTTCTCTCAAAAATAAACATTTTAAAAAATTTAAAAAAAAAAGAGTTTGAATACCTTACAGACCTCACTGGCAGCATTTACCTTTTTCATGACTGGCTTCTTTCCCTTTGGAAACATGTTTATTTAAATCCTTTGCCCATTTTAACATCAGGTTATTCTTGTTGTTGTTGAGTTGTGAGAGTCCTTTATATATTCAGGATATAAACCCCTTATCAGATATATGGTTTGCAAGTTTTTTTCTCCCACTCCACAGGTTGCCTTTTCATTCTGTTGATTCTTCAAGTTTGATATAGTCCCCCACTTATCTATTTGGGCTTTTTTTTTTTTTAAGTTTGTTGATTTATTTATTTAATAAGTAATCTCTATACCCCACATGCGTGGGGCTCGGACTCATGACCTCAAGGTCAAGAGCCACATGCTCTTCCAACTGAGCCGGCCAGGTGCCCCTGCTTTTGCTGCCTATGCTTTTAGGATCTCATATCTGCAAAATCTCACGTCATGAAGCTCCAATGCCTACTCTCTTAAAGGTGCTTATTAAACTGTGGCTGTAAACTATTAATAAATTATGAAATTTATTTAGTAGGTTGTAACTAGCATTTTGAAAAGAACAGAACGGAACACAAAATAGCAAAGGACTCGCTGTATGTGGTATGGCTAAGCACAGCTTTACTTCTTTTAATTTTTTAAGAATTCTTTAAGTGATCTCCACACCCAACGTGGGGCTCGAACTCACAACCCCGAGATCGAGTCGCTTGCTCCACCGACTTAGCCAGCCAGGTGTCCCTTAAGAACTTTTTTAGAAGCTTTTTTTCAGTGTGTGTCTATGTTCAGAGGAAATGAAATGGATTTCTACTGTGGGCTACGGTTAGAAACTTGAAAAACAATGCACTACTCTCTACTGCACTCAGACCAAGCGAAGGCCCAACATGCTGAAGATTTTCTGGTAGCTAAAGTACAGTCGTGACCCAGTGCTTGGTCGTGGTCACTGACTCTGATTAACATTTGAAAAGCCTCAAGAGGAAGGGTCCATTCTGGATCCTAAGGGGATGCTATTCCACAACTTAGACTTCCCCGGTGGGGAAATCGAGGCTTCAGTGACTTACTCAAAGAGAGATTGTAAGTCAGGGGTAGAGAAGGGACCAGAAAGGCTCCTCCCACCACCGCCCTGAGCTCAGCCATCGGGGGAGGTAGACCACTCTACTCACCACGGCGTCATCGGTGAATATGTTCACCGCGGAGGCAGACTTGGCCTCCTTGATTCTGGAGAGGGCGTCACTGAGTTCCAGCCCCGGGCAGCCGAGAAGGCTCGAGTGCGTCAGGTCAGGCACCGAGGTGTACTGTCTGGCAGATAGAGGCTTGCAGGGCGCAGGGCCGGCCTCTTTCGTGGGGGTCTCCGGGGCAGGGCAGCCGTTGGTCTCATTTCCTTTTGCATCTCTGACGCTCAAGAGCAAGTCAGGTGTGCAGGGCACTAACGTCAATGGCTGGAGGTTCTGGGAAGGGAGGAAAATGGGAACCCGGCTGTGTCCACTTCCAGATTCATCTGCACCAAGGGTAGGTGCAAAGGAGGAGAGGAGGAGAAGGCAGGCAGACGGTATCAAAGTGTCTCTAATGCACAGTTCTCATCCTGGGGTGCAGGGGCTCCTAGGAGGCTCATGGATAGTTTCATGGGGACTTTGAGCCACTTAAGACTGCAGTTTTAAAACTGTACCTTTGGATACTTTATGGCAAGGGATTCCAGAGCTCTTATCAGATTCTCCAAGGGCCTATGACCCCAACAAAGTTCTAAACAACAAGAACAGCAACGAACCCCACAAAGATAGACCCTGCTCTACTCCAGTCCCTGCAGTGCTGAAGACAAAGGAGATGGACCACAAAAGGCCAGCTGAGTCTTTCCACCGAGCCAGAAGGGACAGTGAGGCGGAGAGGGGGAATCCAAGGATTCGGATCGCCGGTCAACTGGACAGCTGGCCTACAGGCCAAGGGCTGGGCCACAGTCTGAGCAGTGAGCAGGCTGGGAGGACCCGGCTGTGGTTAGTCACCCCGTGTAATGGTGAGGGTCCTGCCTCCCCGCTGCTCTTCTCTGCGCTCCCCTCCCCCCAGCTGTGCCCCTGGCCTGCTGGAGGGGGGCATTCTTACCCCAGTGGTCCCGGAGCCCGTGGCCTCCGTGGGGATCCTGTCTGGCCACCCAGCTGCTTTTACTCCCAACCGGGGGAGGCAAGAAGGACAGACCAGTGAGAGTTGTCTGAAGGATGCCGGGCTTCTCGTGACTTCCAGACCCGCCCCCCCAGTCCCCTCCAGGCCCCAGCCCTCCATGCAGCCCCATTCCTTCAATGCGTCAGGGCTCTGAGCAGTGGTCTCCTCCGGAGCCCCCCGCGGACCGGCCCCAGCCGGGGAAGGGTGCTGGGCACACAGGCCCCCCTCCCCGTCGTTGTCAAGTTTACTTGTTTGGAGGCGGGGGCGGCGGCCTTGAGTTCTTGCTGTCGTTTCTGTCCCTGGCTCCTCATGCTCTTGCCTCTCGCTCGCTCGCCAGCCGACTCCCCCTGCATCTCCGCCTTCTTCTCTTTCATTTGGAAGGATTTTTTCTCCTGTTTGAGTCTCAGCTCCTGGATCAGCTGCCTGTCCGGGAGGAACGGAGAGCATCAGCGGAGGTGAGGGGCGGGCTGCAAATGTGGGGACTGTCCCCGACGGGTGGATGAGACTCGGCAAGGGAGGGCAGTGCTCCACACGACCTCCCCCAGCGTGTCCGGCCTGCACACGTGGGATTGCAGGGCACAGAGCAGGAGGGGGAGGGGCAAGTCATTCCTCCCAGCAGACCATTCCCAGCCTGGGGAAGAGCATCCAGGGAAAGATCTACAGGGTTCCACCCCCTTGTCTCCGTCCCCACTTCCCTGCAGCTCAATGCCACACATGGCGGGTGCCGGGAAGAGGGTCTGGGCAGGCAGCCCAACCAAGCGGTCCCCATATTGGACCACTGTATATCCCAGGCCTCTCTGGCCAATGATGTAGTGGGACTAACATGGTCACATGTGTCAGGAGGCAGAGATTCTGATTTCTCTTTCGTCATCACCTCCTATGGGACCCCTTCCGTGCTCAGGACTCCCCTTCCATAAAACGAGGTGATGGAGAGGGATTAGACTGGACAGGGTGGGTCCCTTCCAGCTCTTAGATTTCATGCCTGTGGGAATTCAGGAGCTAGTTCTGAGGGACTGGGAATTCTGGACTGGGGTGAGGGTTCCCCTCCCAGAGGTGGGTTTCTAGAAACAGTCCCATATCTACTTAACGCCCCACAGCAGGATATCTTAGAATTCTTGGTCCTTGTGAGACTAAAGCAAATCTGTCCCTGGCAACTTCCAGGTTGGGGACTGAGGCTCAAAGACCCTCCTTGTGGGGGCGCCTGGGTGGCTAAGGCGGTTAAGCCTCCGACTTCAGCTCAGGTCATGATCTCATGGTTCGTGGGATTGAGCCCCACGTCAGGCTCTGTGCTGACAGCTCAGAGCCTGGAGCCTGCTTCCAATTCTGTGTCTCCCTCTCTCCCTGCCCCTCCCCTGCTCACACTCTCTTTCTCTCTCAAAATATAAACAAACATTTAAAAACTAACTAAATAAATAAACCTTATAAATAATAATAATAAAAAAGACCTTCCTCACCATCCCAGGCCAGTCACCCTATAAAGGTCAAGTATAATGTCCACCCCCGCCCCAATACCCACCCATGTCACCCAGAGCCTTCCTACCGGGCATACACCTCCCGAGCCCTGGAAGCAATGGTATTCTGGAAGAGAGAGTTGTTTCCCTGGAAAAACTTCTCATACTTCTCCGAATTCAGAATAGGATAAATCAGCCGGAACCCTCCACAGTTTTCCTTCTCGTACTGCTCAGTTTTCTCCAACCATGCGGCCTGGAAACCCTTGACCTCCTCCATCCTGTTGGGGAACAGAATACGGGGCTACTGTAGATTTTCTAGAAGGGACGTGCCAAGCCAAGTGTCATCTGGGGGCCAGGTGGTCAACCAGTATTTGCTAAATAGATGTGTGTGTCTGTGGGCCTGAAAGGAAGGAGATTCTAGCCCTCTGGGGACAGCTGTCGTCATGAGGCACTAATCGCTGGTTAGGACAGTCCTTCTGACAGCTCCCCAAGGTGGTTCCTCATGTGAGATCCCGTTTCCCCGTTGACTCGGCTCTGAGGAGGCGGACGGCGGCCACCTCCCCCTTCACAGCCCTGATTACCCTCTTCGGAAGGATGGCAGCTTGTGTTTTGCTAAACTCCAGGGCTTCTTGGATGAGCTTTTACGAGCTGTGATGATCTCATTCTCCCTCGCAGCCCCACGGGGAGGTGGAGGTCAGGGAGGGAGGAATGATAAACCCCTTTTACAGCAAGGAAACTGAGAGCACTGAGCTTATCCAGGGCCAAGCCATGAAGAAGAGGATGATTCAGGGGAGGGCCCCCCGGTTCCTCCCTAACAGAGGCTGCCTCCTCCTTGAGCAGTTTAGAGAGAGCTGGGAACCGTGGAAGGCAGCCCAGAGTCCCAAGCGGCACACTCACTGGGGTCTGGCTCGAGTCCTGTCACTTCCGGGCGGGGGGACCTTGTGCACGTCAGTTCCCCTTCCAGAAGCTTCGTCTCCTTAGCTCCCAAAACGGGACCATGGAACACCCCCCGCTGCCCACCTGCCGCCCTCCTCACAGGGAAGACGGGGCGCCCGCCAGAGTGCCCTGAGAGGCCCAGCGCGGTCAGAACACAGGCACTGTCGCCTCCGTTTCAGAAGCCCCACCCCCAAGGACCCGCTGGCTCTGCTCATGGGAGTCGAGGGGCTTCCATGGGATCTGAAAAGCAACAAAAGCATCTCTTCCACAAAGTGCAGAGTCTTCAGACACTAGAATCACTCCGCAGAATGAAGGCCCCTGTTTAAAGGCAAATACTGCCATTCAGGGAGGAGGGGGCGCTCGCTCCCGCCAACAGGTAACAGGGGGCAGGAGAGAGCAATGGGTCTTTCGGTAAAAACAAAGGAATGGTTTTAATTTTTGGATTGGTGATCCCTGAATCTTCACATTATATTTAATGAATTCATACCCATGATATAGTTCTGTCTGTAACTAAATCTTTTTTTAGGTAAAAAAAAAAAAAAAGGCTCGTGGTAAAACTGTTCCAACGGCCGCTTTTGGCAAATATAAGTTAATTTTCCAAACAGGACTATCATATGTTAGAACTGACTTCCCTCCCCACCAGCTCAGGGCAAGATCCTTTTTTTAAATGCGATGACCTGTTTTAATTGAGGTATCATTGACCTACACCATTCTGTCTGTTTCCCAGGTGTACGGCACAATTCGATACTGATGTATATGGTGAAATGATCCCCCAAATAAGTCTACGTCTGTCACCATACGTAGTTAACAAGAATGTTCTTCTTGTGATGAGAACATTTAAGATGTGTTCTCTTGGCAACTTTCTTTTCTTAAACTTTTTCTTAAAAGTTTATTTTTGAGAGAGAGAGGACTCGTGCAGAGACAGAGCAGGGCAGGGGCAGAGTGAGAGAGAGAGAGAGGGAGACACAGAATCGGAAGCAGACTCCAGGCTCCGAGCTGTCAGCACAGAGCCGGACGTGGGGCCCGAACTCAGGAGCCAATGCGAGATCATGACGTGAGCCAAAGTCAGATGCTGAACCAACTGAGCCACCCAGGTACTCCTCTAAACAACTTTCAAATATGCAACACAGTCTTACTAACTATAGTCACCATGCCCTATATTACATCCCCATGACTTATTTATTTTATAAATGGAAGTTTGTAGCTTTTAGCCACCTTCCCTCATCTTGACCACCGCCCCCCCCGCCCCCGCAACTCCAGTCAAGGCTCTTTACCATCTCTAACACACACTAAGATCCTGGGCACTGTGATGAACCTTTTACACACGTGATCTCATTTAATTCCACCTTATGTATCACGGGCTCCATTTCACAGAAAGAACACTGAGGCTCAGAGAAGTGACCGGAAGGCCACATAACCAGGGAGCCGTGGAGGACCAGGACAGGCCGGTCTGACTGTGAGCAGGGCAGTCAGAGAGAACGGGGTCTCCACGGGGAGGGGACACCTCTGTACCTGGTCTGCCGAGAACGACATTGCTGCAGGAATCGGCCCCGTTGCCTCTCTTCTTCTAAGACTTTCTTTTTGTCGCAGCTTCCCAGGTTGATCAGGACCAAAGTGTCATAGAGCAGGCTGTCTTTCACCTCTTTATCCAGCCAGGAGTCGGTGGAGAAGCTCGGAGAGTGGTTGACCTGTGAGGGCAGGAGTGGGAGAGGGGGTGCTGGGCAGTCCAGAGTGGAAGCAGGGAGCAATGCCACAATGCCACCACCAAGGGGCTGCCCCAGCCCAGCTTGGGGCCCTGGCTACCAGGTGAGGGGGACAGACAGGGAGAGGAGGTCTGCACTGAAGCCAACCAAAGCCAGGGGCGCCTGGTGGCTCAGTCAGTTAAGCATCCGACTTCGCTTACTCAGGTCATGATCTCACGGTTCATGGGTTCGAGCCCCACGTCGGGCTCTGTGCTGACAGCTCAGAGCCTGGGGCCTGCTTCAGATTCTGTGTCTCCCTCTCTCTCTGCCCCTCCCCGCCTCAAGCTCTGTCTCTCTCTGTCTCAAAAATAAACATTAAAAAAAAAAAAAAAAAAACACCAACTGAAGCCAGAGTGAGAAAACAGAACATCCTCTAGTTTAACCAGCTTTTATGCCAGCCCTTTCCTCTTTTCTTTAAAATGATTTTTTAAAGGTTTATTTATTTATTCTGAGAGGGAGAAGGGAGGGACAGAGGGAAGAAGGGAGAATCCCAATCAGGCTCCACACTGACAGTGCAGAGCCAGATGCAGGACTCGAACCCACGAACCACGAGATCACGACCTGAGCCGAAATCTGACGCTGAACAGACTGAGCCACCCAGGCGCCCCATCAGCCCTTTCCTCTTGAGAAGCATCAGGGGTGCCCCTGGCATGCGCGCTGTCTCACGCACATGCCATTCCATAGAGTGGATGGAAGGGGGCGGTTGAAAGGGCCAGGCTGGGAGGTGGGGAAGCAACCAGTGATGCATTTGGGACCCTGAGCAGGATTGAGGGTGAGACAGGAGGTGAGAGGAGGGAGAGGATTCCTCATTGTTTAGATGCCCTAGGTAACATTTAAAGATTTCTAGCAGCTTCTGAAGGCCTGCGCCTGGTGGCAGATTCTGCTCTTTGTATAAGGGCTCCAAACAGCCATATTCTCCTTCCCACCTATACCTGGGAAAAGGGCTGGGAATGGAGGAAAGACAAGGTCCCAGGAATGTGACTCGTGATTCTGGGTCTCCCCTCTGCAGACTGGCTCCGACTCCATGCCAGCTGGCCCCAGCACCTCTGACTTGGCACCTCACTCCTCCACCCCCACCTTGTGAATGGCCCCCCCTTGTTGCCGTGGGCCTAGGGGACACAGGAAACCCGCTGGGTGGCCCTCCACCCATTCCCTCCGCCACGGACGCCAGGCCACTCTCTGTCGGTGCTTGGAACTGAGTGGCCCAAGCCCGACACCCAGCCCTGGTAGCTCCTGTCTGATCTTAACATCATCACCCAGTTTTGATGAACACCACCCCCTTTCTGGGAGACGATTCTATTACAAAAGACAAAGCAGTCTTCAGAGGCTTTCTGCGCCTGAGATCCAAGTTTCCAGGTCTGGAGTACTTCCAGAAGGCGCAAGGAATTCTCCAGTCCCTGGCCGTCTACCCCCCTCTGGTGGCCACTTCTCAGCGAAGGGAGGAGCCCCAGGCAGCAAGCACCGGCAGCTGGATAAACTGGCCTGGCCGGGAGGTTGATTCAAAGGAGCGGGGGCTGAGCCAGGGATGAAGGGATGAGCCTGACCCGGGCAGACCCCAGTGAGAGCGGCCAGTTTTCAGCCCTCACCCCAACCCTCTACCTCCAGCAGCCAGGGCTTGAGTTTGTGGTCCAGCAAGATGTCAAAGCCCAGGATTTCAAAGCAGGCACTGTTGAGAGTGTGGTTGGGGAAGCAGGTGTGGTAGTTATGCTTGACGATGGGGTGGGCGGAGATGATCGTCTTGATGATGACGTCCTCGATATCTCTCCAGATCTGCTCCAAGTTGTAGCCATGGGTCTCCATGTACGCGTTGAAGGTGGAGAGCTTCCTGGAAGGCAAGCACAGGCCATGAGGCAAGGCAGTCGGCCGCTGGTCACCCAAGGCCGTCTCGTGCTGGACACCAGAAACTGCTGGAGAAGTTAAGCCCCTGGAGTTAATGGGGATGGGCACCCAGGACGCAGGGCGGCCGCAGGGTTGGGTCAGCTCGGAAGGGGACCGCAGGAGCCACAGTCCTTGAGCCTCAACAGCCCTGAAGGGGGTGGAGATGCAATGACATATAAGACCTGGCTTGGGCACTTTCACCGTGACTCAGAAAATGCCCATGAGGCTGGAGCAGGGACTAGGTATTCTGGGTGGAAAATTTAATAGACGAATTTAAATAAATAAATAAATAAATAAACCCAACGTCCTACACTCTGGTTGTGCTTTGATGGCAAATGGCTTCTCAGCCTTTGGTGTTCATTAGAGATGCACAGGGAGCCTTTTAAAAATGCCAGTATCCGGGTCCCACCCAAGCCATCTGAGGGGATTCTGGGGACACTAAATTCACAGGGAATCTGGGTCACCTGGGTGGCTCAGTTGGTTGAGCATCCGACTTCAGCTCAGGTCATGATCTCACGACCCATGGGTTCCAGCCCCGCATCAGGCTCTGTGCTAACAGCTCAGAGCCTGGACCCTGCTTCCAATTCTGTGCCTCCCTCTCTCTCTGCCCCTCCCCCGCTCACTCTCTGGCTCTGTCTTAAAATCCAATAAAGACATTAAAAAAACTAAAATAAATCAATGAATTCACAGGGACTCTGTTTTAGGGCCGTCCACAGGGGAAAAGGCAGCCCCAGGGCATTGTCACAGGTAGGGTTACCAACTCTCCCAGGCAAAGCAGGACAGTCCTGATTCGAGAACTGAACGTCTCACATCCCAGGAACCCCTCAGTCACAGGCTGCTCTCCCCACTCCCCAGATCAGTGGGTGTCTGCCCCATGTGGAGAGGTTCGGGAGGAGACGTCTGAAGGGGTGCTCTGGTCAGCTCGGAGCTGGGCGGTACAGAGAAGGCAAGTCTGGAAGGTCTAAGAGGCAATGGCGGGGACACACAGCCGCCCGCTCAGGCGCACGCGCGTCTGCACGCAGAGCCGAATCGGGAACGTGGGAGGAAGGGACACGGGGGCGTGAAGAGCAGAGGGAAGAATAAGATGGGAGACGTGGGCTCACAAGGCCATGCAAAGAGCTCACGGAAACCCGGTCAATGGCATCAAAATGGAGAAAGCGGGGAGAGCCAGCTTTCTGGCACACACATTGTCAAAGGGTCTGCTGTACTTGTGAAACTCATGAAGTGAAAGGACCCCAAGAAACGGATCCTGCGGTCATGGGGAGCTAAGGACCCTTTGGGGAGTCAACACACATATGAAATAACCAAGGATGCATTTATATAAAGACAGATGAACAAAGGCCACTCAACACAGAGGCCCACCTCCCCTACCCACCGCTGTCAGGGTATAAAGTATTGCACATAAATGAATTTTCCAGATCGCTTGAAGCCAGTCCATTCAAGTGCACAAAAAGTGTATTTAATTTGCCTAATTGGGAAATAAATTTTCCCAAAACAGATTATCCACTTCCCTGCCTTCTTGTAACAGACATTGCAAATCATAGCATAACCTCATCTTGATGACTTGGGCACATCACAATGAATATACATTATCGTGTAATTTCATAACGCCCAGTGGTTAGCCAATTCAATTGAACACGCCGGCTATGTGCCAGGCACCTCGAAAGATGAAGAGGGCCTGGTCTCTGCCCGCGAGCCCTGACAGACTTCCCATTGTTCTGTCTTCCCCTCTGCGGTTCTTGCTGAGCGTGCCCCTGGTGGGGGGCTCACTGGGGGTGCAGTTGGCCTCAGGCTGGGGATGGGGGGCTTGGGGGGCAGGTAAGGCAGTCAGTATAAGAAGCGGGTCACCTCAGAAGGTGGGGAAGAGGAAGAAGAGCAAAGGAAAAAGGAGGGAGAGAAGGAAAGAAGGACTCTGCTCGGCGACATGGGAGGCGCCCAGAAGGCCAGGGCACCACTCTAACCCTCAAGGGACTTAAGTACAAGTGAGGACACAAGACAAGCATGTGCACTAAACCAAGAGCATTACAGGCCAAGGCTGACATCGACCAGAGGGTGGTGGGGGTCCAGAAATGGGAAGGCGGGTGGCTTGACTCCGATTCCATAGTCCGTCCTTAGACATGGGACCCAATCCTCTCTTCTGATGAAATGAGGACCCAGAGGCCCACAGACACAACTGCTTTCACAGGGGTTATATGGCTGCACCAGAACCTAGAACCAGATCAGAGAAGGCAGCATGGAGGCTTAGTGAGCCAGAAGGGCCTTCGAGGATGTTCTCCGCGATTCTGGTTGGAGATGAGCAAAGATGGAAAAGTGGGAACGAGCAAGGCCTAGATATGGAAGGTGAACAAAAGAGCGACCTGGTAAAACCCCCTGGAGCGAACTGCGCAGACTATGGCCTTGTGGCTGAGGGTCGACTCAGGAGTTTAATTCTGGCTCCATCACTTCCCCGCCATGTGACCTTGGGCAAGTAGCTTGACCTTCTACACCTGTTTCCTAAAAGGCAAAATCGTGGGGATGGTAATAATAATTCCTACCTTAGAGGGATGCTGCGAGGGTTAAATGGGCTGAGGTGTGAATATTCCTTACAGCAGTGCCTGGCAAATGGCAATTCCTCAACAAATAGAAGGCTGACTATTAGTGTCGCAGTGATAACAGTTGAAAGTGGCATCTGGTCAAATGAACGACCAGGCAATGTGTGGTTCAGTTGAAGGGAGACTGAGCAGAAGGGTTTGAACTTGATGCTCTAGTTCAAACTAGTTCTAGTTCTAGTGTGGCCTGGGAGCCACACTGCTGTGGAAGTAACGAGTGGAGAAGTCCCCCCGTTATCCACAGGGGATGCCTGAACCCACGGACAGTACCAAACCCTACATGTAGTATGTCTCCCCTATACATACACATCTATGATAAAGCTTAATTTTTTAAAAGTCTTTTTAAATGTTTTTATTTAATTTTGAAAGAGAGAGAGAGAGAGAACAAGCCGGGGGGGGGGGGCGCAGAGAGAGGGAGATACAGAATCTGAAGCAGGCTCCAGGCTCTGAGCTATCAGCACGGACCCTGATGTGGGGCTCGAACTTGTGAACCATGAGATCGTGACCCGAGCCGAAGTCGGATGCTTAACCCACTGAGCCACCCAGGCGCCTCCCCGCCCCCGTGCTCACCCTTCTTATGAAGACGATGTGAGAGAAGATGACTAGCCTGATGAGACACACAAGGTGAATGACATGGCCACTGTGACATAGCATTAGGCTACTACTGATCTTCTGACGACCCGTCAGAAGGAGAACATCTGCCCCTGGACCGCAGTTAACCGAAGGTAACTGAAACCGCGGAAAGTGAAACCACAGCTAAGGGGACTACTGTATACAGAATACACAACAGCGTCCACCTGCATGGGGGTTATTGTTTTTGAAGCCTATTCACACATGTCATCTCAGTAGGTCCTTAACGGCAGGTCTGAGGCTTGGCCAGGTAGTATTCCTAGTTTACAGTCATTTTATTTTTTATTTTTCTAATGTTTATTTATTTTTGAGACAGCGTGAGCAGGGGAGGGGCAGAGAGAAAGGGAGGCACAGAATCGGAGGCAGGCTCCAGGCTCTGAGCTGTCTGCACAGAGCCCAATGTGGGGCTTGAACCTGTGAACCGGGAGATCACGACCTGAGCCGAAGTCGGATGCTCAACCGACTGAGCCACCCAGGCGCCCCGATTACTATGTCACTTTAGAGATGAGGTACAGAGAGGTTAAAGCCTGGATTTAGGGTGAAGAGCCAGGAGGCCGAGCAGCCCATCAGGTCTGAGGTCTGAGTCCGGTGGAAAGGAAGGGACACAGGGACATCTGAAGGAAGAACCTTCGGGATTCAATGACACCAAACTCCCTAATCCCACAGGTCAGGAGGCAGAGACGGGGCAGCTGGGCAGGGGAAGCAGTCTTGAACGATGGGGTGGGAGCGAGGGGCGAGGCCTGCCTGGGGTGGGGGAAAGAGAGGTGAGGAAACAGAGGAAGGAGGAAGGGAGATGCGAAGTGGCAGAACTATACTCCACATTCATACCTCAGTCCCGGCACCCCTAACACCCCTCCGTTGTGGCCTCAGGGCCCAAAGCCTATTGTCTTCCCCTAAGAGCAGGGAAATGAGGGCCCTTAGGGAAAGTCACAGTAACCAGAGCCCTGTCCCCGCAGCTATCACAGGTCATTTGGGTCTCACGGTGGTGTGACCTCGGAGGTGCAGCAGGGCAGGGGAGGGCAGGGCAGGGCACTCACTGCCCCTATCAGAAAGAGGCTCAGAGAGACGAAGAGAGCTTCCCACACTTCCTGAGCTGGCAGGAGTCAGGGCCGGGACTGAAAGCCAGGCCTCCCGAGCACCCTCCCTCAACCTACCAAGGTGAGCTGGTGACCGTGGTGGGGAGCAGAGCAGGGGTGGAAGGGCTTCGGGAGAGGCTTGCACTGACGCCCTCGAAAGCAGGGGAGGCTTCCCCTTCGAGCAGCCCTCAGCTGGCGATTTTCCACTTGCTCTGGGGAACCTGGCCACCACGGAAGTTTGTGAAATCTCACGCGCCTCTCTGATGCTCTGAAGCCAAACCGACGGCGTGTTTAGCAGCCTTCTGAAGCCTCGCGCAGGGGACGGAGCATGCACCTTGGAATCTGGCGAACCCACCTTCTCATCCTGCTCTAGCATTGACAGCTGTGGGGCCTTGGGCAGCTTAACCTCTCCCAGACCTCAGTTTCCTGGTCTGTAAAATGGACACAGTACCTAACTCATCGTTTGCCACCTACAAAGGGCGGATTTGAATGCTTCTGTCTTAGTGCTCTGAAGATGCACGGGGGGGAAAAGATGTTCCTGAAGCCCCCTCCCACCCCACACGGGCCCCATCACACAGAAGGCCTCCATAGGCTTTCCCTCCCCTTGCGCCTGGCGTGCTCACTTCCTTCAGCTCCCCTCTTTTCCTAAATAAAACTCCAGTGAGATGGGATGAGACGGTCACATGACTGTAGTAACTGGGAAGGCACTCCAGCACTCCAGCATTCCTCTCATTTCCTCGCTCTTGGGGGGTGGGGGGGTCTCAGGGATCTGTGGCCGGCCAACCACAGTCATGCCACACGTGCCAAGCACATTGCGACTATCATTTGAGAATCTCTGTTGGAGCGACACCCCAGGAAACCACAGGCCAAAGGAACATCTGCCTGACACGTCCTTCTCCCGTGGCAGCCTAGCAATCGATAAACATCTATTGGTTTGGAAATCTCAGAAGGGCCCAGTGTAACAAGCATATGTTCTGGCGCGCGCGCGTGTGCGCATGTGCGTGTCCTGCTGGAGAACCAGCACACATTTCTCTCTCCTCTTCCCAACCTCCTGGGGTTTACAAGGTAGCCTGCTTTTAATGATTAACAGCCAAAGGGCAGAGACTACGGAGGCCAAGAAATGGTTTCTGAGCCCATGTGACCCACGATGGAAACACCGAGGGGGCCTGATGGCCTTTGGGTACAACCGCAGACGATGGGTCTGAGCCTGGTAGGGCGCACGAAAGACAGAAGCGCAGGGGCTTCCTTACCTCTTGCTACCGGCCTGAGCGTCTCGGATGAAATTGGAACTGTGCTTGTTGATGGAATAATTAGTCAGGTGCATGCACACGTCGTCCTGGGGACAGAGAGAAGCAAGTCTGTGGGTCTCCGGCTTCCTCTCCCTGCCCTCCCAGGGCCCCAAGGGCTTAAAGAAATGGAAGCGACAGGGGAGGGCTCCCCCTGGCTTAAAGGGGCAAAACAGAGGAAGTCAAGTGGTATCCTGCAGCCTGCGGCAGAAGAGAGTCCAGCCCCTCCTGTGAATGGGGGGCTCACTGCCTGAGGCACATTTCAGGAGTCTTGGGCGGGGGGGGGGGCGGTCTGAGGGTGTGGGTTCAGGGCTCGCTCTTGGCCTTCTCTCTCCTCAAGCCCCGCAGCTCTGGAGTGCTAGCTAGCTTTGCGGCCAGGGCAGCCCTGGTCGCAGGTCCCAGCCCCATCTCTTCCTAGATCTGTGACCTCCAACAAGTTCATTCTTCCTGGAGTTTTCATTTCCATGTTTGCAAAACGGAGTTGAGGATCCCTATTTCTGGGGGCCAAACGAAGAGGGCGTATGCAACCCAGCACGCAGTTAAGTGTTCCACAAACGACAGCCGCATCCACAGCGTCTTAAGAAGGTGGATTTAAGTGGGGCTTTTCGTCCCCCCGGGGGAGGAGGGGGAGGGGACGGGTCTCCTGAGCTCACCAGGTTGTCTGTGCAAGGATGGGAATAAGAGGTAGTGGCGAAGCGCACTAGGCCTTCCTTGTACGCGAAAATCCTGAGCGGGTCACAGGACGTCATCAGCACGTAAAGCCGTAGGTCAAACTTGAACCCGTCAATGATAAAGGGCTGTGGGAAGGGAACAGACATCACACAGGCTTCAGGAGGGAGAGTCAGACATGAAGATCAGCGCCTCCTCTCGGTTTTTCCGGGTACTGTGGAGCACAGGCTTGGCCCCAGGCTGGGGAGGACCGGAGGACCTGACCTGTGGAAGTCACTAAACCACACTGTGCCTCAGTTTCCTACGGCACAAGTCACCACCTCCCAGAGATCTGGCACCCAAACGAAGTGCCCTTACAAAGTCCTGTGACGAGGGATATATTGTCATCATCTTCCTTCAGGCCTGGCCAGTCCTGTCCTGTCCTATCAGCGCATGCTCTAGAGGGCTCCCTCCCTGCAGCGGGCTATACCACTGAGACCTCTGACCTCCAGCCATGGAGTGAAGCCGTTCACCATGATCTCTCCAGGACTCTTCCCCTCTCCCAAAGGAAGCGGGGCACCCACAGACCAAAGGTGCCCTCAGGCTGGCATCTGGTAGAGGACACAGGCCAGCCTAGTAAGGCCACACCCGCTATGAGGACATAAGAGTGAGAGATGCTATAGCCCAGGCACGCGTCACATCCCTGGTCAGAAGACTCGCTCTGACAACTTCTAGGGCAGACGACAGGACTCGGCTCTGCCCCCACAGCCGGCCTCCGTTCCCTCATTTCCCACAATCCAGTGGAGCTAAAGCCTGAGGTTGCTTCGGCAGGAAATAAATAATCCCAAGGAAGAAGTACCTTTGAAATATAGAGTTGACAGATCATATCCTCGCCTGGCTTGATATCTTTCACCGTCCGGGTGATGAATATACCTCTCCCTTGGCAGCCCGAATCCGGCTTACAAATGTAGGTCTTATTTTTTCTTGACCTGCTGTAGTTCTGTAAATCTCCCCAGCTACCAGAGCAGCAGGAAGGGAATGAAATACGCCTTTAGCTGGGGAGCAGTGAAAGGGAAGCCTAGCTCTTTACAAAAACAAAACCAAAACCAAAACAGAAAAAAACCACTAAAGCTCTCTAATATGAAAAAGACTCAGAGTTGACAGACACAGACTAAGGAGATCTGGGAATAGGAGACACAGCCACGCACACCCACGCACGGTGGAGAGAGGGTGGGCTTTGGAGGGAACTCAGGCCGGGGTTTAAACCCAGGCGGCACCACTCACAGGCTGTGTAACGCTTTGCAAGGACTTGACCTCTTTAAGCCTCAGTTCCGTCATCTACGCCATGGGGGTAATGACACTGTCTTGTATGGTGGTTGATTACATGCCCCTTGAACGGGGCTGTGATGGGAGTATTTTGGCCTTCTGGGTCTGCAGGTAGGAGACATGGAGTTCCATCCTGACAAGCGTTGTGACCTTGGACCAATCAGTCTCGTCCCCTACTCTAGGCTTCAGCTCTGCCCTGGTCACATCAAGGCGCAAACACTATTTTTCACTCTGAAGACAGTACATTCGGAAGAAATATACTGACGCGCTATAAATCTAAGTCCTGCTACACTTCTTGTCTTGCATTTTAATTTGCATTGTGACCACTGGAGAAGTCACTTCACTGCAATGCTCCTCAATGGCCATGAAATCTGGATGTGGCCCCTCGCTTAAAGGCAAACACGTTTCATTCTGAGTTGCTACTAAGTCCGGAAAGTTGTTCCAGACAAGCTAAGGAAGTTTGGGAATCCTGGAGCTCCTGGTTTGGAAAAGCGCTGGGAGAGCGCCTGGGTGGCTCAGTGGGTTAAGTGCCCCCCTTCCGCTCAGGTCATGACCTCAGGGTTCGTGAATTTGAGCCCTGCATCAGGCTTTCCGTTCTCAGAGCGGAGCCCGCATGGGATCTTCTGTTTCCCTCTCTGTCTCTGCCCCTCCTCTGCTCATGCTCTCGCTCTCTCTGTCTCTCAAAAATAAACATTAAAAAACAAAAAAAGGAAAAGCACTGGATGCATAGGACAGAGTAGGATTCTCGCTATGTGAATATAATTCCATTGGCAACGCTTCTCTCCCCTCCGCCTCATCCCAGAGACTAGACTGTACTCAGGTGACATTCATGTCATCTCACATTTCTTCCATTTCTTGGTGGTGTGGCCCAGAGCGTCGTGTGTACCAAGAAGGGATGCCCACTTTCAAGACGGGCAAAGTGAGACGGGAGATGGGGAAAGGCTGGCTGCCATCCATGGTGTCCCTCCCTGCTCCCAACCTGGGCGCTAACCATTATCTCACTCCCTCCAGAAGTGCTCACGGTCCTTACAAATTCAGAAACGGCACAGTTAAAAGGTTGGCACAAGTTCAAAATCAACAGCGTTCAGGGTCAGAACAAATTCTCATCCCAGCTACAGGCTCAGGCTCCAAGGCAGCCAGCCTCTAGATGTCATCCAATTTTTTATAGCAGAGCCTTGTGTTTTCTCAACCTTGCACACACCCTTTATCCCTTCTCTTCCTGAAAAGGAGAGGGAGATGGAGGACCCTTTGGGAAGGGCAAGTAGTACCAGGGAAGCAGGAGCAAGATGGAAGTGTAAATTGGGGGTGCGGAGGGGAGAAGACGCACAGGTAGGCACTCACTCGGCAGGAAGACACCAGGTCCTGGGGAAGAAGTGGAAATCCTTCGGGAACATCTTTAACATGCGACTCATATTTCTGGCCAGCAAGTCCTTGCGGCAGATTTCACTCATCCCAGGGAAGTGGTTTATTTTCTGTGAAGGAAGCCAGAACTCGTGAATAATGGGGGCCAGGGGAAAACCCATGAGATCCCCCTTGTGGACAGCCCTAAAAGTGGGAACCCGATGGAGAGATGCCACATGTGTACAGAGGACCAGCTGTGCCCCAGATACCTGGTAACTTTTCATTTCCATCACCCTCTCCAGCGACACCGAGTAGTCCGTCCAGTAGAGAGTCCAATCATTGGATTCCCCTCCCTCTCGCAGGCCATACTGCTGGGCGGCCCTACGCACTGGCCATGGAGTTGGAGAAAGGAAGGCCTGTTAGCCCCAGAAGTAGGGAAGGAGCATGGGGTGGGGAGGTTATGTTTCTAGATGCTCTCGGACCGCGTTAGACCATATGCTGAAGAGAGACACCTCAGCTCATTGGGACCAGAAGCCATCTTGCCTGGTCTGGACACACCATTGCCAAGAAAGAAACATGGAGAGCTATTGAGGAATACAGCCTATACCCAGGGAACCCCGCAGAAGGTTATCTGGGAAGGATGTTTTACCTGCCCTGGCTTCCCCGTGCCAGGAAGTAAGCTTCTGGCTTTCCTCCAAACACTACGCACTGAGTGTTCAGGGAATGTAAACTAATCCTTAACATTAGCCAGGGCCAAGCTTAACTAGAAAGGTAACAGAAAAAAAGTATACAATGCATTTCAAAACCACATATATATTGGGGCTCCTGAGTGGCTCAACTGAGTGTCCGACTTTAGCTAGGGTCGCAGTCTCATGGTTCGTAGTTCGAACGCCATATCAGGCTCTCTGCTCTCAGCACAGAGCCCACTTGGGATCCTCCGTCCCCCGCTCTCTCTGCCCCTCCCCTGCTGGTGCACGTTCTCTCAAAAATAAATAAAACATTAAAAAAAACCACATATATGCTCTCACATCCTTCTTTCCCAGTCCCTGTTAGCATTTGTAAGTGGGAGCTCACTCCAACACAAACACAAATGACTTCCAGGGTCTGGAAAGGAAGAAGTGCCTGCAAGTGATGAGGGAAGTCAGGAGCAGTCTAAAAAATTCAAATTCGGAATTATATAATGACAATAACGCTGCTCTAACAAGGACCTACAACTCTTCTCTACAATCAGATTCCCAAGTAACCCTACACAAGAATTATAGAGAACTGAGGAAGGCACCACTGTGGTCAAAACCTGTATCTTCTTGGAGTGAGAGTCCCTTCCTCCAACAGTTAATTGAGCTGGGTGAAGGAAACTGGAAGATTTGGAGTCACCGCCTTGTCACCCCCACGGGAAAGTTGACCCCTTCCCAACCGTTTGAGAGTAATCCACTGGGTCCCCATTGTGGATCCCTCAAGGGCCGGCGCTCACCGCTCTCGTATCGGCAGGCGGAGAGATTGATCACCAATCATCTGGAAAAGAGAAGAAGGAAACAGCAAGACAGAGACAGACATGCTTTCCAGAACAAGTGGCAGCACCCAGAAGCATCCCACCCCAGGCTGGCCTGCAGGGAGCCTACTCCTCTGCATCAAGCCCGGTTTGACTCCCCCTCACCCCTACTCAAGATACAGATGTGAAGGATTGCAGAGAGGCAGCAAACATGGGCTCTAGCGGCACTCAGCCCACGAGGCAGAAATTCTGTATGGCGGTTGTAACAATCTCTGCTTTGGCTTCATATGAACACTGCCTCCTTGATCCTTTGATTCCAGCGGCCCATCAGGAACAGGAAGGAAAAATTTTTTGGGCCAAGTTACTTCAAGATCTCCCTCCTCTGGCCCCCACTAACGGAAGTTGTGAGTTAGAAAGTTGACAAGGTGTCAGACATCAGTGAGTCTGAAGAGAGATTCATTTCTCCCCCCAAAGAGGCAAGGTGTTAAATAGGAACTAGAACGCAGAAGCCACAGTCGGAGCCTAGAAATCGGCATCAGTTCTGTTGTTTTTAAAACGTACTGGGGCGCCTGGGTGGCTCGGTCGGGTAAGTGTTCTACTTCAGCTCAGGTCATGATCTGGAGGTTTGTGGGTTCAAGCCCCGCGTCGGGCTCGGTGCTGACAGCTCAGAGCCTGGAGCCTGTCTTCAGATTCTGTGTCTCCCTCTCTCTCTGCCTCTCCCCTACTCGCGCTCTGTCTCTCTCTCAAAAATAAGTGAACATTAAAAAAAATTTGTTTTAAATGTACTAAGTTCCCAAGACAATAAGCACTTCCTTAAAACAAGGAAATCATCTCTCTCTGCACAATTTAAAAAAAAAAAAAAAAGGCATGCCAAACAATGAACGGAATGCAGATTAGGACAAAGTGTCGTTAAGATTACAAACACCATTATTTGAGTCCATGAAACAGGTCATCCAGTGGATCCTTTTCGTATGAACCGGAAGGGCTGTGATTTTGATGCTCTCAGCATCTCTTTTACCCTCTCGTTAGCAGCCTGGGCGCCCTTCCCTCCAGGTCCCTTTCTGCTCCCGACGACACGGAACCCCATTCCCCATCTTTTGGTCCTAACCTCTTTTTCTTCCTCTTCTTCTTGCCTTGCTGCTGGGCATTTGGAAGCCCCTCCTGTACCCCAGTGTTCTCGCTCATGAAAGCCGGGGTGACCGTTTCTTTCGATTCTTCCAGGGAGCTGTCTTCCTGCTCTTCTGAGTCTGCCCCTTCCTCGCCTCCCAAAGGCAGGCACTGGTTCATCTCCCCAGGCTGCGAGGAGGCTCCAGGGAAATCCCGGCCCACCCTGGAGAGAGGGCAGAAGGAGCAGCAGTTACTTGAATCCACCTGCAGGGGGACCCCCTCCCTTGCTCATGTGGGTGGTTAGATCCACTCCGAGACCAGGCGACACGTGGCAATTGATAAAACGCCACCCCATCTCCACGGTTGGTGCAAGCTGTTGGTGCAAGCTCGGGGAGAGAGCCGATGCCACCTTTTGCCACTGACTCTGACCCTGGGGACTCGCTCAGCCAACCCTGGCTTTGGTTTTGTCCTCCTGGGATGCTCAGGAGGAACAGGCTGAGATGCTATGCATGGCACCGCTTGGTAAACAATCTTATTAAAGTGAGCGAGGGCCTGGAGACAGCCTCGGAACCAAGCCCTAAGGCTTCCTAGCTGAGGGAGGCAGTCCCAGTGGGTGCCGAGGAGGCGCTCTGAGCAGGTGTGTTAACTGTTTCCACACTCCGCTGTACCTCCCGTGCCCAGTCTGCTGCTCTGACGGTGAATGCAAAGGCAGCTCGCGGGGCACAGGGTCACTTTGCAGCTGACTGAACACAATTCAAGGTCAGGGCCAGAGGGAGACCTTCAGAGACCCAAACCACAGAAGAGGCTCCCGCACCATGAGATTCAACATAAAAGCAAGACCAAACGGTAAAATACCACTACGGAAGTCCAACAAAGTTCTTGTCCCTCTCCCCCCATCCCTACTGATGACTCCTTTGTTGTTTGCTTGAAATTTCAAATATCAATATTTTTTAATGATTGTTAATGCCCTTGGTTCAATCATCCACAGGAACCTGCTTGTTTGCGGTGACCCAGCCCAGATCCAACAGACCGATTCATCTCCGTCACATCCAAGGCTTCTATGGCCCTAAAGCCAATCTTTTGATGCTCCTCTCCCCGTTACCTCCAAATCCCTGCCGACCTCCTCACCATCGTAACATCTGTCCTTTGATGCCCTTTCTGCCTACTGCCTGTTCTTCCCTCATGAACGCTTTCGTTTTTAAAAAGTGTATTAATATCTTTATTATAACATATTATTAGTAATGACTTAATATAACATGAAAGGAAGTTTGGAAAAGGACACAGTGGGAAATCGCCTGTGGCTTTCCCAACCTGGTATAGCAACTTGGCCCCTTTTGCATATTCTCTCCTCTTCTTAATTTTTTTTTTAATTTTTAATGTTTTATTTATTTCTGAGAGAGAGAGAGAGAGAGAGAAAGAGACAGCGTGAGCAGGGGAGGGTCAGAGAGAAAGGGAGACACAGAATCTGAAACAGGCTCCAGGCTCTGAGCTGGCAGTCAGTACAGAGCCCCACACGGGGCTCGAACCCATGAACTGTGAGATCATGTCCTGAGCCAAAGTCGGACGCTTAACTGACTGAACCACGCAGGCGCCCTTCTTCTTAATTTCTAAGCATAATCATTCTTCTGTAAACTGTAACTATAATAGATAAACCATTTTCTATCTGCTTTCCCCCCCACTTAAGATAGTATCAGAAACATCCTTTCGGTTGTGACAAAGTTTACATGTTTCTAGTGTTTAGTGGCTGTATAATAATCCCCCAGAGAAGGAATATGCTTAAAGCTAACCAACCATGGCACTATGGTTGGCAATGTAAGTTGCTTCCAATTTTGCGATTGTGTTAATAGCTCTAAAATGCGCATTTTCATGTATAGAAGGCCTTTTACTTCTTTAGGATTATTTCCTCAAGATATATATCTGGGACGAGGATTACTAGATTAATATAAAAATTAGCTTCTACTTATCTGTCTGTCTGTCCATCTGTCTCTATCTTCTATATCTTATCTACCTATCTCTATCTATCTCTATCTTCTATCTCTATCTATCTTACCTACCTATCTCTATCTCTTTCTTTCTATATCTATCTATCTATCTATCTGTACTGCCATGTTGTTTCCCAGAGGAACTCTCAACAATTTTGACTACACCAGCAATATGCAATAACAGTAGGCTCACCAGACACACACAATTTCGCAGGAATCACTTTCCCTCCAGGACCAAACTTGCTAATTCTAGACAACTTTATGTACCATGCTTTTAACATTACGGCATCCTTCCGTGTCTTTCTGCCCCTTTCCCACACCAAAATTGATGAGGAGAGGGCTCTAACTTGGAGGCTACCTATGAATAACTTAATAATACAGCCGCCCTCCTGGGTGGCTCAGTCAGTTGAATGTCCGACTTCGGCTCAGGTCATGATCTTGCGGTTCGTGAGTTCGAGCCCCACATCAGGCTCTGTGCTGACAGCTCAGAGCTTGGAGCCTGCTTCGGATACTGTGTTTCCCTCTCTCTCTTTCTCTCTCTGCTCTTCCCTCACACTCTGTCTCTCTTTGTCTCTCAAAAACATAAATAAGCACTAAAAACTTCAAAAAAAATAATAAAGCCACCGTTATATGTATGTACTTAGTTTTTTCAAAGAATTATCACACATACCATCACACTGAAAGCTTAAAATGGTCACCAAGAGGAAGGGCAGAATTATTAAGCCAGCCAAAGATTGCCACTGGTTTCTCTCTTGCCGAAAAGGGGCTATACTTATTCCCAACCCAATTATGGTGACACCTGAAAAGGGGAGACCGAGCTGCACTCAGCACAACCAACCAATGAAACCTGGGCCTCGTGAGTCCGTTTTTCCCAGTGAACAGGCACATTCTTGGCAAAGTTCAAGAGGACTGAGGTACGTACGTGAAACCTTGACCTTGGGCTCCTCCCTTGATTTCAGGTAAACGGCCAGCTCCACTCCCCTAGTCCCTCCACAACGGCTTCTGTGTACCACGCCGTGAAGGAGTGGCTCCGTTTACCTAAAGGTTAATGTTAACTCGAGGAGAGAAAACTGACCTCGAATTTGGCCTCTGGAGTTGCGAGCGGTCTTTGCTGTCCTTTGAGTCTTTGCCCAAGTGGTAAGAACAAGTCATGGCTTCCAATGTCTGGCTGCCTCAAAGAGAAAAACAATAACAACAACAAGATCAAATTCTGTTTCCTGTGGTACAAGAGGGACGTAGAGCCCATGTTCTAGAAAAGGAACTGATCCCCACCGCATCCATTCCCACCTGCCTTCCCCTGCCTTCTAGGCTATCCATGACACAAGAGCCAGTTGAATGGTGCCTGAGTCAGGTGCAAGATGGTAGACAGCAGTTAATGCCACATGCGTCTATTTTTCGTTTGCCTTTGGTCCCCTGGCTTCTTCCTCCCCCAACCCCCTCCTCCCTATTTCATCCCCAAGGTAGGAGATATAGCTGGGACTGAAGGCTGAAAGTCCTGCTGACTTTTCTCAAAGGTTCCTGAGAGAGAATATCTTGCTCAAAGTTTGCCAGCATGGTGTCACATGCTGAATCTACCTGCAGAAATGTTTGCCTGGCCCACCACAGTGCATAGTTGTTACGGTTTTCAAACAGAAGTAGCTGCTGGGGCGACTGGTGGCTCCGTCGGTGAAGCGTCCGGCTCTTGGTTTCGGCTCGGGTCAGGGTGTCACGGTTCATGAATTCAAGCCTGGTCTCGGGCTCTACTCTGACAGCTCAGAGCCTCCTTGGGATTCTCTCTCCCTCTCTCTCCGCCCCTCCCCTGCATGGGCGCACGTGCTCTCTCTAAATAAATAAATAAAACTCGACAAAAAAGAGCAAATAAATAAAGTAGCGGCCAATAACTAGAAAATGTAGATTTCTCATGCAAATCCAGATTTCTATTTCTTTTGGAAAAGTAGATCCCCCTTGCTTCAGGCCGGCGATCAACCAGAGCCAAGCTCTGGCTCTCTCTTTCTTTTTTTTATTTTAATCTTTTTTTTAATGTTTGATTTATTTCTAGGAGAGAGAGACAGCGTGAGCAGGGGAGGGTCAGAGAGAGAGGGAATCACAGACTCCGAAATAGGCTCCAGGCTCTGAGCTGGCAGTCAGCACAGAGCCCGACGCGGGGCTCGAACCCACGAACCGCGAGATCATGACCTAAGCGAAAGTCGGACGCTTAACCGACTAAGCCACCCGGGCGCCCCACTGGCTCTCTCTTTCGATATTTTTCAATCTACCCCAGTCCAGTCCCTATGGTCTCCCTGATACCAGAGCCAAACAATAGTTCCATCCGTGCTATTATCTTTCTCATAGTAGCATTAAGAGAGAGGAAACATCTTTGTATGTCCAGATCATTTCTCTCCTTTAGGTCACAAGCCCCGCGCCCTTGACATCTGGATTTGCCTGCCCTCCTGCGGCATCTCTCTGGCCCCCAAACAACAGTGAGTTAGGACAGAGGCTGCTTTCTCCAGAAAGTCTCAAGTTTTACTGGACTCTACCAGTCTTCTCTTATCCAGCGTCCGCAGCCGCTCCCTTCTCTCCTGCCCAACGACTTGGCTGTCAAAACGAGTCTTGCTGTCTTGCGGAACCAGAGAAGGAGAGGCAATAAATCCGAAGGACGGAGACTAAGGAGAATATAAAAGGGTGAATGGGGCTGCTCCATCCTGAGATAGGCGTACATCCTGGTGTGAGGGCCTCGGCAGGCAGAAGCGTGACTTTAAATCACTTGCTAAGAGGCAGCTGGAGTGAAGTAGCTAAGAACTCAGATTTCAGGGTCTGTCTGCCCGGATTTAAATCCCAGCTCTGCCGCTCTCCAGTGGGGCGACCTCGGGCAATGTATTTCCCCTCCCTCTGCCTTTGCGTCCTTGTCCGTAAAATGATTTGCCCCAGCCAGTTATGAAAACGAAAAGGAGTGAATACAATGCAAAGTGCTGAGAACGGGGCCAGGCACATAGTAGGTGCTCACTAAAGGCTATCTCTCAGCATCAGTGCGCGGCCTGGGACTGCGATCCCCCCTGATGGAAAAGCCCGCGTCTGAGAATTCTCCACTCTTATCACCAGCTCTGGCAGATACCGGAGCTTTCTAAGCTTCTCGCATGATCAGACTGGAAGAATGAATAGATTCATGAACTAATTTCGCTTACAGTTCATTTTCCTCCTCTATGTAATAGAAGCACTGTTGTGAGCATTAGATAAATAGGTTTTTTAAGCACTGACCTTGGGTTCTTTTACACAGAAGGCACTTAAAACACTTAGTGTCGCTCATGTATAATAGTAGCTACTTTTTACAACCTACTGACCACATCACTAAGCATTTACATTGTACTAAAGCATTTTATATCCATATGTACTGTCTCTGCATACCATCATGTCATAGATATTATCTTCCCTCCATTACAGATGAGAAAATTGAGGCACAGAAGGGTGAAGGTAGGAGATATAGCTGGGGTTGAAGGCCATGCCTGTCTCACTCCACAACCCATCGCTCTTTGACATGCTGCATGCTGCCTTTCCCTCTCGGCTTATCACTTATCAACGGGGTGACCGGATGAGTGAAGCAACGGCCCTCCTAGCTCCCAGAAGCAGTTTTGGTGACTCGGTCCCTCACACTCAGTTGGTCTCATTTTCCTTAAAGCCCACTGCTTCCAAATTCCCACCTCCATTAAGGACGTGGATCTCCCCAGATTTGCCATAACCTGGGAACAGCTCTATTGTTTCTACTTTGTATTTATTTTTCTGTCTCCTTCCCTTCTTTTCACCAATGTCCACATAGTACACGGGCTCTTATTTGGGGTGCAATTAGAACATTTTTTTGAAAGTAGGGCTCACGCCCAGCGCAGAGCCCAACCTAGGGCTTGAACTCATGGCCCTGAGATCAAGACCTGAGCTGAGACCAAGAGTCAGACACTTAACCGACTGAGCCACCCAAGTGCCCCTAGAACACTTTCTCAGCAATTACTGAATTCCTGAATATTACAGCTGGGAGGGACCGTGAGAATACATAGCTCAATCTATCTGCTTTTTTTGAGGCTTTGGAATATCCCTGCCAGCTAGAGGAGGGGACTTGCACAAAGCCAGAGAGCAAGTCAGAAGAGCCAGGAGCAGAGCCCTGGCTACTACTGACCTTGTTGCTCATCTTTTCATAATACCAGGTTCATGGAAAAGCCATGTGGACCAAGTGTTTTGGAGAGCTCTTAAAAAGTGGCTGATGAGGGGCACCTGGGTGGCTCAGTCGATTAAGCGTCCAGCTTGGGCTCATGATCTCGCGGTTCGTGGATTCGAGCCCCGCAACGGGCTCTGTGCTGACAGCTAGCTCAGAGCCTGGAGCCTGTTTCGGATTCTGTGTCTCCCTCTCTCTCTGACCCTCCTCTGCTCATGCTGCCTCTCTCTCTCTCTCAGCAATAAGTAGAACATTAAAAAAAAAATTTTTTTTTTAATTTACAGAAAGGCGGCTGACTTGTGCTACTGTAGCAAACATAGTAAATACCATCTTCGGATTCACTTGATGACACAGGAAACATTTAGTTCGCCTTTCCAAAGAGGATAGTTAAGACGATTTACAATTTACCAACAGTGATGTTTCCTTCCCTTTTAGTGTGGGGTTTGACTTTGAATCCTCCAAACCAGACAAAGCCTCACCAGTCTGGTTAGACAGCATGAAAATGCCCCTCAGTGGCCACCAGGGGGAGGGCATGAGCCCTGGGATGGCTTCATGCAAACATCTTGCAGATTCTTTGGAAAGTCTCAAAGGAGGGAGCATATTTCATCTCTACTTCCAAAGGACTATACATGTTGACTGACTACTTTTCTTACCCCTAGAGGTGCTGCAGAGCATGGAAAATATTCAGAGCTTTCTTCGACAAGGCGGAATTAATACCGTTGTCAAGAAACTGAAGAAAAGAATTATCTGGTAGTTGTTTAAGAACAGATCCTGGAGGAGCACCTGGGTGACTCAGTTGGTTAAGTATCCGACTTCAGCTCAGGTCATGATCCCATGGCTGGTGGGCTCGAGGCCCATATCGGGCTCTGTGTGACAGCTCAGAGCCCAAAGCCCACTTCGGATTCTTGTCTCCCTCTCTCTCTGCCCCTCCCCTGCTCATGCTCAGTCTCCCTCTGTCTCTCAACAATAAATAAATGTTAAAAAAAAAGAAAAGAAAAGAAAAAGAAAAGAACATATCCGGGAGCTGTTTAACGTTTCAACCAAGCTTTTTCATCCTGACCTTCAGAGCCTGGATTTTTCTTCCAGTCTGTAGGAGTACATATGCTATGGAAGACCTATCCTACTGTGTCTGAGGGATGGCTACCTTCTCTTCTCCCAAATAATGGGTTTTCCTGCACCTCCTCCCCATTACATCTTTGGGTGCTCATTCTCCTATCAGAAGCATCCCTCTGAAGGCTTCTAGCGGCTAGCTCTTGGAAAAGGTTGAAGTAGATGGGGGAAGAGATGGGGAGGTAAGATCTCTGGATCTTGCTTTCAGCTTTGCCTCTTTGATTTTGTAAGCCAGGTAATATCGCCTCCCATGCCCCCCCCCTTTTTTTAAGTATCGTTGACACACAATGTTACATTACTTACAGGTGCACTCTTGTTCCCTATCTTTTCTGTGATTACAGGACCGCCCAGAAGATAAAAACTTCACATCTAGGGGCGCCTGGGTGGCTTAGTTGGTTAAACGTCCGACTTTCCCTTAGGTCATGATCTCGCGGTTCGTGGGTTTGAGCCCCGCGTCGGGCTCTGTGCTGACTGCCAGCTCAGAGCCTGGAGCCTGTTTCAGTCTGTGACTCCCTCTCTCTCTGACCCTCCCCTGCTCACGCTGTCTCTCTCTCTGCCTCCTAGAAATAAATAAATATTAAAAAAAAAAAGAAGAAGATAAAAACTTCACATCTAGAAAGTGTTTTCGGGCCCCTGGGTGGCTCAGTCAGTTACATGTCCAACTTCAGCTTGGGTCATGATCTCACAGTTCGTGGGTTCAAGCCCCGCTTTGGGCTCTGGGCTGACAGCTTAGAGCCTGGAGCCTGCTTTGGGTGCTGTGTCTCCCTCTCTCTCTCTGCCCTTCCCCGACTCACACTCTGTCTTTCTCTCTCTCTCCACAATAAATATATATTTTTTAAAAAAAGAAATGTGCTTTGAGCCTTGATGCACACAGGATAAATTAAGATGCTTTTAATGGCCTTTTGCCTTTTCATTCTAGCCACCCTTGAAGTTTCAGCCCAGGGACCGAATGGGTTCTTAGCAAGATGTGGACTAACAAGGGAGGGATGGGGGCACTCAACTGCTCAAGGGCTGTGCCCGTAAGAAGATGTCAGAGTGACCGGCCATACACACTGGAAACACCAAGAATCTTGCTGACCCAGATTCCATTTTTTTTTAAATTTTTTTTAATGTTTTATTTATTTCTAGGAGAGAGAGAGAGACAGCATGAGCAGGGGAGGGTCAGAGAGAGGGAGTCACAGACTGAAACAGGCTCCAGGCTCCCAGCTGGCAGTCAGCACAGAGCCCGACGCGGGGCTCGAACCCACGAACTGCGAGATCATGACCCAAGCGAAAGTCGGACGCTTAACCGACTAAGCCACCCAGGCGCCCCCCAGATTCCATTTTTTTTAACTCTGCCAGAAACTGAGGGGAAGATGCAGTTTTCAGGGCAGGCTCATGCCCAGCCATCTTCTGCACAATACGCTGCACTGCTAGCAAAGACAGATGGATCTGGACCGGGATCCCAGCTCTACTTACTAGTGCGTGACTGTGGGTAAGAAACTGAGCTTCTCTGTACCTCGGTTTGCTCATGAGTCAAATGAGGATAATAATATCCACCTTGTGGGGTTATGTGAAGATTACGTGAGTTAATACTTACAATGCTCTTGAAGCAGTGCTTCGTTTAAAATGAAAAGCTGTACTGTAAAATGAAAATATAACAGTAGGGTCCGGGCGTCTGTTGAGTAACTTACTGAAGAGCCTAGCACATATGGGTGCTTAGTTAAGGGTTAGCTCCCTTCCCACCTCGTCCCCAAATGTAAGGGGAAAATGTAAATTTTCAGATGCCAAAGGAGAACATTCCTCAAGCCTAGAAGAATTCTCCTTCAGGAGGTAAGAAATAATAACTGGAAAAGGGGGCGGGGCTGAGGAGCAAGGGTAGGGGCATTTGTGGAGGGCTGTGCTGGCTACCCAAAACAGAAGTGTCTTTCTGGAAGGTTTCCCCAGACAAAGGAAGAAAGGTGCTCAGGAGAAGGGTCCAGCGATGGGGAAGGGGGGAGAGGGGGGCAGAGAGAGTTTGGCGACTCCCAGGGATCTCCGGGATCTGAGGGACAGCTCCCTGGGACGACCGGGTGTGGGAAACGAAGAGGGGGCAGAAAGCGAGGGTGCACCAGGTTCGGGCGGGCGAGAAGGGGGGACAGGAGGGAGTACGGAGCTAGGACAAGAAGAGAGTGAGGGCAAGGCCGTGGCATCGGGGCTCTGAGGATAAGATAGGGAGCGAGGGGATTTCAGGGGTGAACGCCAGGGTGGGGCCGGGAAGAGATGAGCTGCGGCGCCAAAGGGGCGCGGGGACTGGGAGGGTGAGCGGCTTGGGCCGCGTGGGGAGCCACCAGGGAGGGCAGAGGGAGTAACCGTGCTGAACTGGGCACCGAGGGGGACTTCGGGGGTATGGAGAACCAGGAGACACTAGGAGGCCGCGATCTAGGGCCAGCACCGGGCTTCGGGGGTGGGGTGGGGGCTCTTACCCGCGATTCCTATCTGCCCGGCTTGCCGCCCGTATCGCTGGCAACCACACTTTCGCGCCCCCTCCTCAAAAGACTAAGGAGACAGGGTCCCATTGGCGGCCGCCCAACCTGCGCTCCTCCTAACTTGGGGTGCGCCCAGCCCTCATATATTTGCATATAGGGCTTTCTAGGTCTTCGATTGGCCCCAGCGGCAGGCGGCCGTGCCCCCCCCTCCCCCCCGACTCCAATTAACCGCCCCTGTGCTCCGAGAGGGCAGCGCCCGAGGTAGTCCCGGGAGACGCGGAGGACGCCTGGGCCGCGCTCCCCGCGCGCGTCCCCGCCCTCCCCCGCCCGCGCCGTCGGGGCGTCGTGCGCAGGCGCGGCTGGAGCCTCGCGGGCCCCGCGGGTCCGACGTCGGAGAGTCGGGAGTCGTGGCCCCTCCGAGCTGGCCACTGGCCAAGAGAGAGCTCCCCCCACCCCCACCCCGAGGGCTCTGGGGTCGCGGCTTCTCACAGCGACCTGCTGACCGTCCTCTGGCAGGCGGGGGGATCAGAGTAACGGCTGCTGCGTTCACAGGACTGTGGTCTCCTTCTGTTTCCACCTGTATCGGCCCAGACTCGTGCGGGCCAGAGTGCCTGCAAAGGATTGGCAGCCAGTAGAGCTAGCTGTTTCTGCCTGGGTTCATTCAGGATTGGGGAGAGACCTAACAAAGGATCGAATTCAAAGCCCTGAACCGGGGGCCGCCCGGGTGGGTCGGCTCAGGTCATGATCTCACGTTGGGTGAGTTCGAGCCCCCAGTCGCGCTCTCTGCTGTCATCATGGAGCCTGCCTGGGATTCTCTCTCTCCCTCTCTCTGCCTCCCACCCCAAAATAAATAAATAAACTTTAAAAAGTATTTTTAAGAAAACCAATAAAATTCCTGAACCACAGTGTTTTTAGGAAACTCCCTTATGGATTGAGGCAGGGGATTCTTGTTGCCTATATCCATTGGCTCTTCATTCTGGAGATTTCCAGATGCTTGAATTGATGTTAGGGAAATGTAGTTTCGCCTGTGAGAAAGGACCGTTCAGTCCCAAGGAGTCAGACTTAGGTAAGGCTATGCCAACATTACTCCCATACTGAGGATAGGGTTCTCTTGAGGGGAGACATCGTAGGAGAGACAGACCCTTCCCAGATAAGCTGTAGTCAAAAGGACTAGTGGAAGGGGCAGGATCCTCACTGATGTGGAGGATGTGGAGTTAGTCCAGGAGAGCTTCCTGGAGGAGGAAGGTTTTAGCAGATTCCTTAGGAACCGTGTGTCCAGTGCATGTGTCTGGGACTTCGTGCTGGCCTCTGATCCCTTATCTGAATACAGCAGAGCTTTACATTTCCCTGTCCCTCTCCATGACGCACCCCTCTGTTCTTGGACACTTGGACATTCCAAAAATTGTGTAAACAAGCCTCATTAGAAGCCCATTTTGAAGCCCTAACCGCCAGCCCCCCCGTATAAAACTGATATATAATAAACCTTTACGCTTAGCTGTGTGTACAGTTCCTCACTGCTGAGTGCTGTTGTGTCCCTATAAATTGTTACCTTTTGGACCTATGTTGCTGGAGGAAGTTTTCTCCTCAGCACAGGACACTGTCCCTTTACCTGCTAATCTGCTAAGGAGCCTGGAGGCAAAGGCTTGGCTTAGCCCCAAGTGGACAATGAAAGTTGGGGTTAGTGATGCTGAAATTCACCCTGGGGGGCCCAAGGCGAAACCAGCGCCCTGCGGGTCTGCTGCTCTTCCAGAAGCCTCCTCGCCATCCCATCCTCCACCTCTGGTCTCTTCGCCCTTCCGTCCAGGTGGCCCTGAGCTATCTCGCCCCTCCCCATCTCCAGGGGCCCAGGTGACAAGTCATCAGCTGGCCAAGAGCAGATGCCTCCCTAAGCCCAACTGTCCCAGCTTCGTTCCCCTCCCCCTCCAGCCTCTTTCTTTCCCCAGCATCCCCCAATCTGCTCCAGTTTTGGCCTAAGGTCCCTCGGGAGTGATATTGTGATGGAAACGAGGGAAAGGATTCAAAAGGATTCGGGAGAGATCCCCAAAGATTTACAACTTCCAGAGGGTTTCCATTAAGATCCCTGACAACTGGTCAGTTGGCCGGTCGCAGTGGGAGCTAATAGGCCAGAGCCTGGTACCCCTGTCCTCTCAGGGGTGGTGACACGAATAAACACAGGGCGCCATGGTAGAGGTGCCCCCCTCTGTAGAGCAAAGCGTCCCCTCCAAGGCCAGAGTGACCGCCAGGAAATCAGAAAGCATTAGTGATTTGTGCCCGGCAAGCCTCACACAGAAAGAGCCCTGAGGCAAACACCGAGGGTTTTTCTGGGCCTGGGTGTGAAATGTTGAAGTAGGGTGTCAGTCGTCACAAGAGTTGGACTGTGTCCCCTCCCCCGAGCTCAAAGGCAGAGGCAGAAGTGTGCAAGGGAGAGTGCCGGACACGGGTACGAAACTTGTTTTCATGGTCTTTTTGTTCCGAAGGCACCCACCTGACTAAATAGTAACAATTTACCCTCAGAGTGTTGTTTGCTCTGCAGTTGACACACAGGCTCTTTCTCAGTTTGGGATTAAGTAGTTAATGCGGGGAACAAAGAAAGTCCTGCTTCTGCCTATACCAGTCAAAGAAAGTCTTGGTACCTGCCGGCCGTCTGGGTGGCTCAGTTGGTTAAGCGACCGACTTTGGCTCAGGTCATGATCTCACAGTTCGTGGGTTCGAGCCCCGCGTCGGGCTCTGTGGTGACAGTGCAGAGCCTACTCAGGATTCTCTCTCCCTTTCTCCGCCCCTCCTCTGCTTGCGCGCGCTCTCTCTCTAAATAAATGAATAATATACACTTAAAAAAAAAAGAATTAGAAGAGGAAATCGAGGCCCAGAAGAATGCAGTGGTTTGACCAAAGCTACTCCCTCCTGCACCCACGCTCATTACTGTTCTTGATGAAAGAGCAGCAGAAGTGCTGCCGAGCGCCTCTTCCGAGTTCTCCCATTTTGACATGTATCCGATGGGGCCGACAGAGCCCCTGGGAAGGGAGCTGTCGGCCCAGAAGCTTCCATGCTTCTGTCTTTACTGTCCATCTTCATCCTCCCCTTTTCCTTCTGGGAGACGAGCTGCTCATGGTTGTTTTCAGGGCATCCCTTCCTTGGTGTGGGTGGCTCTGAGAAGCAAGTTCTGTAGAAAAGCGCCCTTCTGTATGGGAAAGAGTAGGTACATTACTTTTTTTTTTTTTAATTTTTTTTTTACAAATAGTTTATTGTCAAATTAGTTTCCACATAACACCCAGTGCTCATCCCCACAAGTGCCCTCCTCCATGCCCATCCCTC